AATACTCGTATGCATGCATATTAACAGGCAATGTACGTGTGTGTGCGAGTGTGAATAAGCACTTTAAAAGTTTTTTACCCACACGCACACACACACACACACACGCACACATGCGCGCGTGCACTTATGCAATGCAGGAACAAGGCTGCCCTGTTCGGTAGTCCGTAATGCATGCGAGAAGTGTGAGAAAGTACATTAGGGTCAGTGACGACTTGGACCACAGTCGAGCAGGGCGGGTCATGGGGCGGGGCGTGGCATAACATGGATGCTGCTACTGCTACATTTACTTGTCGTGCCATTGGCAACCACTTTCGCTTTCAACTTGCAACATTTTGCGGCCGTCCCAGGCTGGGTGTGTACTAGTGTGTGTGTGTGTGTGTCTTGTGCAATGTGTGTTTGCCATAATGTACAATTTAAATGTAAACAATTTGCCCCAATGTGGCGCAGCGTGGCAAAAAATGTTACAGGACAAAGGCAGCTGAATAAAATATTTAAAAGCTAGCAGTAGCAGCAACAGAAACAGAAACTGAACATATGGCAGACGAGGCAGCTGTGAATAGTGAAACTCAAATATTTATCTTAGCAATTGCCTCTAATTTCGTTCAAAGTTGCTGGCGTTCTAAGTAAACTTTTCATTAGCAGCAAACTCGCAAAAACACACAACCATACAACACACAGACCCCTTTACGCCATTAGTCAACAGTCAGAAGGATAAGTACTGCTAATTTTATTTAATTAACATTCTTTTATAGTTGTAATTGACTTTCATGTGCATTTGCAAATGTTTTAATCAAACTACCAGAAGCCGCAACATACACTCACATAATCGTATTAATCATATCCCCATAGCCAGGCTATACCATTGGGTATTCATTTGGTTTTCCCATGGTTTTAGATTTCCTTTTTAAGAATGTTAAAAGTGAAGCACCATAACTTTTATAATCAAGCTGCATTTATAATACTAAGTGTATGTTGGCATATAAGTTAAGTTAAGAATAAGCCAATTAATTAGATTTTCAACTAACTGAATAAGCCATAAAGCTTGGCGAACTTGACTTGCACACTATATTTTAGAATGTCGTCAATGAAAGCACATTCCGAATGGTTAATTTTAAACTATTTGATAGCTAATTCCATTAATTAAGGGTATTTAATTATCGGTATACCACAGGTAGTTGTTCGGTGAATTCTTCAATATGCAACAAGCCGATATTCATAAAAGACAAAACCGCAACCACAACAAACAGAAACCGCAGCGCACCCAATATGGGGCGTTAGCTCCAACCTCCCATCAAAACCACAGGCCCAACTTTTGCATAAAATAAAAAACAAATCAATTGAGAGCTGTGCTGTGCAATAAAACAATTTGATAATATTGAAAAACTAAAACAAGGCATAGGAATGCGACGCTATTGAAATGATGCCAAGTTTTTGTTGTTTTGCTCTCGCTGTTTCCGATGTATTTATATTAGTTGTTGTTGTTTTTGCTGCTTTTATTGTTGTTTACATTGCGTGCTACATTTGGCACGTTGCCGTGGATATCTGGTTTGTTTAGCGACACGTTCTGTTGATTTTCTATTATTCGCTTTTCCTTTCAAATTTTCTCAAAAGTTCATTAAACTCTTGCGCAAACTGTGAAATAAATATTAAATCAATTTAATTAACTCATGTTTTTTAGTTTAAACACAATATTATATCTCCAACCAAATATAACGATTTTAAAGTGTTCAAATACACCAAAAAAGTGATTTTCTGTTCTAGCGCCTGTTGTTTGCATAATTAATGTAATGTCTTGGGTACCACAACGTGGTGCCAGGGATGTTTGCTACGTCCTTTTACGACTGTTATTTTATGCATGCAAAGTCCCACGCTGCGTATGCGTAATATGTGCACAGACCATGTTAAATTTCGGACTTTAAGACATCGGAACCTTTAACGATTCCCCGCATAAGTTAGAGCGTTGAACATAAGGATAAGCGAGAAGCTTACATCATTAAATGGTCTGCAGAAATATACGGGCTTAAGGAGATAAATTCAGGCAGACATATTATGTGTTATATTTATGATCTAGTAGTTACCGTCACGACTTTGTCTGCGTGCGCTTTGTTAGGGTTCATAAAATTTTCACCGCGCATCTATGCATTTGCGTGCTCCCCTGGCCCACCACATGCACCCCTATAATATTTTTCATTTACCAAAGCAATAGTAAAACACACACAGCGGGCCAAGGGCCACATGGCACCCAAATAGTTAAATTACTATTCAACATGAAAATTATACAGAGACGCTCTAAGGGCCGTCACACTTCCAAGCATTCACCATACTACAGACTGAATTTAAGCCTTATAGGGTTCAGACTGTGCGTTGATCACCAATCAGTCAGTCAGTCAGAGCAAATAGTTTTCTATAATGTGATTATGTTTTACGTTTAATTCAATGCTAAATATAAAGAATAGAATGCTGAAAATGACACTGAAATGACATGTCTGTCAATCATCGAGGGTGTGTACTCATGCTCACATGTCTCTTTTGTAGTTTCTTAGAACTCTGTATAAATATTATTTTTAAATATATTAATATATAGATAGTGCTTATGCATAAAAAAACAGCGTCTTAAAGAAGAAGGCCTAATTCAGGCGTAATAAATTAAGCAGAGCTAAAATTTATTTTTTTCTTTTCAATGAAAAGCTTGCTAATCCCACACAGAAAATCTGTCCAAGTTATTGCTAGAAAATAAAAGAGAAACTTGAAGCAATAATAATATTTTTATTTTTAGTCGCTCAATTTCAAATATGTTTTATTAAAGGTTGAGTATTAATGTAATTTATTTATAGCTTGCCCGCACAATGCTTCCTTTATTTCGGAACTAATCACAAGACCCCATTAAAAATTTCCGGTGATATTGACTTAATTAGAATGAGAAAACAGCCATAAACTCTTAGCGCACTCAACACATACGATGGATATTAATTGATCCATGTTGAGAGCCTGTCAAATGCGCCGATGCCTAAATAATGAACCCCCGAATATCTTTGACAAGCAGTAAAAATTCCAATTGGGAAAACGTTTGCTCGCACCCTCGCTCTGCTTGCCGTCAGTTTGTGTTAAGAAATTAACATGAGGCTAAAAATAGGCGCAAATAATGCGATGTGTCAAAACAAAACATCAAAACGAACTGAGAAATGGGAACTGTGATCTGAGAGATGGGCAATGGGAGCTGGGAATGAAGCGGGGAGCGCAGGTAAAACTTAAAACTCAAGAGAGCAACCAACTGGTGGCAACTATTTTGGATACGGAACAGACATCAAAGTCGTCTTCCTCTGGGCTGCCAATAAAAGAATTAAACGAATGTATAAATCATTAAAAACGGCCAGACGATTGCCGCCAGCAACTGGTCACATGCCACAGGGCACTTATAAATAGAATTCCTGCGGCAACTGAAGAGGCGCACGTGCTGCTAATGCTGCTGCTGCTGCTGGACAACTTCAAAGCTGCTGCACCACAGAGCGTCTAATTAGACGATGTGCCTGCAACAGGCAACACCGCAACAGCTAAGCAAATATAAACTAACTCCTGCCCCCCGAGATGGGGTGGGCTTGCATGGCCCGAGCCATTTATTAGGATTTACGACTAGGTGTTGCCTTTTGCCTTGCAGCGCACATTTGCTCAGCTTGCCGCAAGCCAAAGCGTTGACAAATTGGCGATGCCGCAGCGGAAGCTACGCTGCCGCCATGTTTGCCATTTTGCTCAAGCTGTCATCGAATGCGCGCCGGAAAGTATGCAATGCAAAATAACAAATGGCTTGTGGCTTTGCGGATCTGCGGCTCTCCTTGGCTAGCTGCGAGCGTTGCGGGCACGCGGGGCTTATTTCAATAATTTCCTAATACGTACGTACTACGAGACTGCATAAATTTATGCATGGAGCTGCGGCTTGTGCTACGCTAATCCTTTGCTTGTGCTGGTAGAAGTAGTCGGGCGGAGATATTGGAGGCTTGGACCAACGATAAAATTTGCACTTCACTTTCGGCTGGCAAGCTGGCAAAAACATTTGAACATCAAAGTGGCAGAACGACAAAAAGATAAAACCTAGAAAAAGCGTACAAAAAAGTCCTTTAAAATTTGTTTGCAAAATAAATGCGTCGCAGTTTTGTTGCTGCTGTAGCCAACATTTTTGCCTTGCTGCTCTGTTGAATTCTAAAAATTCTAAAAATGGAGCTCTCCATCCAGCGTTGAGTGGATTCTAGGGGCTTTGCTAAGCAAAATTGCGTTTCGACTTTAGCTTTAATAATTTAATTGACGATTACAGGTAGACAGCACCTGAAGCTCGTGTAGGTCACTTGTTAAATATCGCACACAATAACAGATAGAATACTTGTAATATTAAAGAAGCCATGCGAACGAAAACAATGTTAAAATCTTTCAGGCTGCCCTGTCGATTGAAATAACACACAACACGAACCCAAAATTCGAGGTGAGGCAGCCTAGCATGAAGCAAAATATATTGTCTTTATATACATATTGTTTGTTTTATTTTTTTTTTTTTTTATTATTATTTATCTTTTTTTTTGGAGGGAAAATAACAAACTTGAACAAACGACTGCAGCAAGGACAACCATAATGTCGACAACCGGCAAACGGAAGAGTCGAACAGACAATAAGCACGGGGTGGGCGTGCGGGTTGCTGGGCGTAGCCCAATGCCAGGCACCTCTCCCGGCGGGCTGGCCTTGGGTATTGTTCTGCCCGTTCCGCGAAAGGCAAGCGGAAGCATTGTGTTAAAATAACAAACAATCAGCCGAATCATGCAGGATGTGCAAATAAGAAATAAATATATTTTTATCAACGCCAGCGCAAACGCCAGCTTCCTACCTAAGAACTTCAATTGGAAGCTTTCCCTGTTGCCCCTTCTGCTTTCCGCCATGTTGCCTGCTGCCGCCGGGGCGTCAGTTTTCATGTTTTGCTAATAAAGAAAAAAATCAACTTTTCTTTTGCTTTTTTACAGTACCTGCACGTTTGGTTTGGGCCGCTGCCGGCAAGACCGTGGATCTGCCATGCGATTTGACGCCGCCCACGCCGCAGGACTCGGTAAAATTGCTGCTTTGGTTCAAGGACACCACCGGCATACCGCTGTACAGGTAAGTGTTGCTGCTGCTACTGCTGCTGCAGTTACCAGAACATGGCAAATCAATTTGAAAGCCTGGCCAAACTATTTAGTTGAAAAAACCGTCTAAGCCAGCTGCCAGTAGACGTTGCCAACAAGAGAAAATGCTGCCCAAGTGTTACACACACACTCTTACACATCCGGCAAGCGACAGCCATCCATCAAAAACGTGAAGTAATCGTCAACATCCTTTGCTGCCGTCACACTTGGCGAATTTTTCACATTTTTTTCTCCATTCTGCCTTTTTTGGGTTTTTTTGTTGTTGTGCGTTTTGCCTGAATTCCGGCATCGGTGCTTTTTGTGTGACGGCATTTTTGCGCAGGACCCCGGAAGAAGTGTTATGTGTACGCACACGTGTGTGCTTGTGTGTGTGGTAAGGATGCGCCCGTCCACGCCGTCATAATCCACTTTGTTATAATAAATGTAAAGCACATCCGATTACAGTTGCCATCGCTAAAGTGTAGCAAATTTTCACGCACATACGCATCAGACACGCTTCCCCCAACCACTCATCTCAGCACTCCATTACCACCTCTCACTGGCAAAGAGCATTTTTGCTTTTATAAATTTCAGTTGATAAATTTTCAATGCGCCGTGTGCATTTCAAGTGGTACCGCCGCGAGGCTTGCGTGCCACAGCAGCAACTATCAGACACACAGGTGAACTGGCCACCAGTCGATAATCATAAACAACTGCAACAACTGAGCAGTGGCAGTGGTAGCAATCCAACTCCAGAGTGCCGGGTGTTGTACATGAAATAAACAGAGTAATTTGCTAAAACAGCAACAAATTGCTGCAATTTGCGCAAAGCTGCCAAAGCTGCCAAAGTCGCGACGTGGCACGCAGAAGCGAAGCAACAGTAACGAATCCGCAAAAAGCAAGAACAAAGCAAAACACACACACACACACACACACACACACACACACACACACATACATACTCGTGCAAATTGAGCGTCATTTTTTATGGCCGTAAATTATGGTAGCAGTAGGACAACCTGAGCGCCAGGGCAAACTAATGGCCAAGAGATGCTTGCATATGTTTATTTATGATGTATAATAAGCGCTGTGCTGCCAGCCACGCCCACACACTAAATTCACACTTAACGATTTGCTTTGCAGTCTGGACTCGCGTGGCGGCAATGTAAAGCTGGCGCCACATGCGGCAATAGCTAGCGATCTGGGTCAGCGTCTGTTCTTTAGCATTGGGGATAATCCCAAGGATTCGCGCCTGCAGATTAAGGATGTTAAGCCCGAGGACGGCGGCGTCTATCGCTGCCGCATCGACTTCTTCAACTCGCCCACCCGCAACTTTAGGCATAATCTAACGTTAGTTGGTAAGTTCAATTTGCCAATCAGCCTAGAGCCGCCCATAAGCTCCATAATCTTCCTTATGCAGTGCCGCCCGAGGAGCCCCGCATCTTTGATGCACAGGGCAAGGAAATCTCCCAAATGGCAGGGCCATTTCGTGAAGGCTACGAGCTTTTCCTCTGCTGTCAAGTGAGGGGCGGTAAGTGTAAAACTCTTTTTGCATTTGATCATTTGTAACTGTTAACGAATTAAAAAGGATAACTTATCTCAATACAGTAATTTTCCTACGATTGGAATACAATTTTGCTAGTTATGAATTTATTCAAGAAAGTGCTTAAAATGAGAACTTGTCTCTCTGAAATTTCTTGAGAAAATCAGTGATTTTCTAACATTTCTATTCGAGTATTTGTAGAGGTTTTTTGCTAATAAATACTCTTAAATGATTGGATAGTTCCATCCGGAACACACTTTGCACATTGCTCTCTGAAGTCCTTACAATCCCTGATCCCTGCAGCTGACATGCTGCGGTCACTGCAACACTTTATAGCTATCTCATGTGGCCAAGCATCTCTGTCGTTGTATGCCATATTGTGGCTAGTCCCTGGTAGTTGACAGGATCTTGGAAAACAATTGAGAGCAGCTACCAATAACACTATGTCATTCTGTTCTGCAGGTCGACCACCACCGAAGGTCACTTGGTGGCGTGATGGCAACGAGCTAATCGGCACTAGCCACACCTCGGTCGAGGAGGGCGCCACAGTGATGGTGAATCAGCTGCTCATTGGCACCACAACTAGGGATTACTATGGAGCGCGCATTGAGTGCCGGGCGCAGGGTACCCGCTTGCTGGAGCCTGTCATCAAAGATGTTACCGTACAGGTGCACTGTAAGTCGAAGTTCCTTTCTCAAATGATGTCGCCTAACTGTAACTGTATTCACAGTGAAACCTGTGCGTGTGAAGATTATAACGCCCAACGATCTGCTCACTGCCGGACATCCGATTGCCATACGCTGCGAATCGTGGGGCTCGTATCCGGCGGCAAAGATTGCCTGGCTGCTCGATGGTGAGCCTATACGCAACGCTGAGGTTACCGTGCACAATGACAAGGAGGTAAGTGCCGACTCTTTCAATTTAAATAGCTCACAAATTACCAAACGAAGTTTAACCAGAACAATAAAAAAAAGTAAACAAGCAATTTGCTGTTGTACATGCATGCTCCCAAAGGCAGCTTAACTTTTTGTTGGCAAATTTGCTTTTTACGTTTGACATTTGATAGCTACACACACAGACACATGCACGCACACAGGCACTCAGGCACACATACTCACATACAACTTTGAGTAACTGTACGCCGCTTAATAACCTCTGAAGTGCAACTTCTACAACAACAATGTCGACCACTGGGTGACCCTAAAAGGCAACGTGAACCAGGCAAAGTTTTGCAGCAGCCGCAGAGCCAAAAGCTGCAGACAAGTTGACTTCAAGTGGCCCGTCCGCCTGGCTGGCAGCCACAGGCCCCCCTTTTAGGTCCTTCCCTCTGCTGGACTTCTTTGATTAAGTGCACTGCCGAAAACTTTCGAGCGAACTATACAAATTTGCACTCGACGATTGCACCAAGGAGCACGACGGACTTTTCCTCGACTAATGTGCGAATTTTTATTTGAATTTATGCAGACGGGCCCGGCCAGGCCAGGCCGGGCCGGTCAGTTTGTCAAGGGCCAAACGCAATTTTTGTGCATCCAGCTTAAATTTATCAGCTCCAGTTCACATGCAACACGACTTCATTTGCCTGCGAGACAGCTCCAGACTTTGGGGCGGGGGTTGTTTGTAAGACATGCGACCGCACTGTATAAGGACAGCTCGGTTTTCGGCATCCATTAGTTATCCTTTCTCATACCTTGTCAGAGGATATTTTAGTTTTGTCACGAACTGTGTAACTTTACTACTTGGAAGGGTATTTCATCTTCGGCGTGCAATAAGTAGCTCTTCTTTTTTGCTGTTCTTGTCGTTGCCTTTTTCGCTTTCTAATTATGCCATGTTAGTGAATAGAGACAGGAGCCAGAGCAAGAGCTGTAGCTGTAGCTTTAGCTGGAACTGATGCTGATGCTCGAAAACGTGAGCGTTTGGGGCTTGCCCAATGCCAAACGTCGACTGTCATTAGACAGCTCGTGCATAACTGATTCTTACGATAGCAGGCCCCAATATGGTATGTGTGCGCCTGTTTGAATGTGGGAGTTAGTTTGGGTTTGGGTTTTGCAGCATCTGCTTGCCACACGCATGGCTTTGTGCTCAGATCGATTGTTGCCAAAACGTTGATGGCCTGCCATGAGCAAGTTTGGTTGCTGGCGTAACACAACACGCTCCTCGATACGAGAAGCCAAAGATGCGTCTCATTATTTCCAAGCCCGTGCAGCAAAGCCCTTCGAGCTTGTCGCTTGAGCCTGATACCTAACAGTGAGTGGGGTACTAAGCTTTGCAAATAAATCTATGTTACCTCCATATCTGAAAAATATGGAGTTTTAATTCCGTTTCACATATTGCAGGATGCCAACATTACGACCAGCATACTGACGCTAAAGGTAACATCCGAGAACGACAATGCTGAGCTGGCATGTCGAGCTACGAATCCATGGTTCTCCGGCGGCGCCATCGAGGACAAGCGCATTATACGTGTGGCATGTAAGTACAGGTTGATGTAAAAACATATTGAATCACATGGTCTGCTCTGTTGTATGAACTCTGGCCATACTTTCAATTATGTCAACAATGCGACACACACGCACGCACGCACAGACTCGTGCTGAATTATAGACATATCTATCCTGTTCACAGCTCCAGCTTTGTGCGAGTAGGCTTGCGCGGGCGTTTGTAGCTAGGAGCACTTTCCGCCGCGGCAAGTCCAATTAGCAGCGTATTAGGGGCAGAGCAATATAATTTGATTAGGGCTCCACACCCTGCCTGTAGCCTGTAGGCCAACTCGCTCCAGTTGCTGCTACACCTTCTTCCATCCAATCTGACCCCGTGGCCTCATCCACCTGTTGCTGCCTGCTGCACGTTAAGCTGCTTATGAAATGCAGTCAACTTCATGATGATCTTTATCGCCATCATCGGGGCTGTTGCCATTGCCTGCGATGTTGTTGGCCTCTGGGCTGCCTTCGACTTGGCTTGATTAAATTTTCACTGTTATGTTTCCGCTGCTCATTTTTCGCCTAGCCACCGTAATATTTGCAACATCCGCTTCCGGCTTCCGTTTTACATTACTCCTGCCACAATGAGCGCACCCAAAAGCAAAAGCAGCAACAAAAGCAAATTAAATTACCTGCACTCAGAGCGACCCCAGCAACCTCTTGCTGCGACATCGGACTTCATTTCAATTTTATTTTCTGCCGCATTTTTAATAATTCACCATAAGCGTCAGCAATTTTTGCCGTCTTGTGTCCAGACGCCATAGTTTTTTCCACCCGCATACAAGATGGCGGCCGGACACGAGAGCCCACGACAGCCGCTCGCCCTGGCGCCAGTCTCGGTCGCGTATTAGATTTTTACAACCGTAACTAATAGTCCCATTTGGCTTATGGCCAGGCAGCCGAGTAGCACAGTGCCACAGTGCCACAACGCTGCGTAAAGGATGTGCATTCAAGCGGCCGGCCGACCGGCCGGCCACCCCGAGGCTGTGCTCTGTGCGTGGGCAACAGCTGACCAGGAGCAGCAGCGTCAGCTTGAGCTAACTAACTAACATTACGCAACGCTGGTTGGGCCCGAGCAGGCGCCTCACCTTATGAGCAATTTGAGTTTATTATTTGGACTTTTATCTGGCTATTTGTAGCGCTCATTAGATTTGACGCCCGTACTTATTTATCCACTGTTTTTGGGTTATTTTCTTCTTAACTTTTCTCTTTTGTTTCCACGCAGATCCGCCCACCGTGTCGGTGCACTTGGCCAACGAGGATCCCAGCCGTATGGTAACACGTGCCGAGGGCCAAAATGTCACGTTCAAATGCCGTGCTGATGCGAGGCCACCTGTCACCAGTTACTCTTGGTTCAAGAACGTAAGTGCGCCACAGATTTTCATCAATTTGTCCAACTCCCTCTCCCTCTCCCTCTCCTACTCTGCATTAAATTGAAACTACCCTGGACCAAGGAACAACCGCTGACGCCTATCAAGCGGCAGACACTTTGGCAATTTTTATTATCAATTGCTTCACTCTCCTTCTCTCTCTCTCTCTGTCGCTCAGGCTGTCGAAATTCCTGCGGCAACTTAAGCAGACACTTTGCGGTTTAATTTAATTTACCGAAATTGTTTGCAGCAGCAAGAATTTCCAACGCTGCGGGCAACTCCCACACATATAAGACGCCAGGCGCAAAATATGTGGCCTATTCGGTTACCAAGTGGCCGCCATTAGCCACGCCCAGCTTGGAAATATATAAGGTTGCCATGCATAATTACTCATGAAGGCTTTGATTGAAGTCGCCTTGTATTGAGAATTATTTAAGCATTAATCATGCGACAAATAATCCAGGGACTGACCAGAAACTCTCCGAAGCGAACATCTACCCATTGCTGATTTTAGCTTTCATTCACATTCCGACAAAAGCCACAAAGCTTGACCGGCATTGTTCGGCTTGCCGGTATTGTGTTGTTGTTATTACTAAACGGGCAAGGTTTTGACAACCTTTGACAGTTTCGTTCACATGGGCACATCATCATTTTTCATTGCCCAAGCAAACACTCACACACACTCACACACACACAGTGGCATAAAATCATATTCTTTCTCTTACATTATTATATTTGCCTTGCGTCTGCTGAGTGCGTGTCTTAGCTTGGCATTTAACAAATTATCCCAGACCATTGTGGGAAAAAAACTTTTTAATATTTAAGGCATTTCGTCTTTGGTCCTTCGGATTTGCCTTTTGCCGTTGCCATTTATAAGCGAAAAGCAAAAATCGGCAAAAATTATGAAAAACGATGCGGCAAATGTGCGCAGAAAAAAGTTATAAGGAGCAGCAAAAAGTAAGCAAACTTTGTCACTTCTTCGGTTGTCAGTTCTTTCTAGATTCCTTAATCAGCAGTTTGCTTTTCCCGTCTAGATAACCCAGAAACATTTTTATTCAGTCAGCTCAGGCTTAAATTTCCACAAACCAGAAGTTAAATAAACTTCTTTAACAAGGCTATGAGTCGACTGGCTGGCTGTTGAATTTCGCGTTAAATGCATTAAAAACGCATTACATATGATGCAACTGCAATTAGCTTTATCTATCAGCAGAGTTAACTGAATTGCTTGCGATACATTTTGCAAATTAACATATTACAAACAATTAATTTTTCATATATAGCAAAATGCGAAAGTCATTTCGTCTCAACTAGGAGATACCTTTCACTCTAAGGACATGCTTATAAAAGTTCATTGATAGACTGTCTGCTTAATATGCTCAATTATTATGTGTTGCAAATTTTCCAAATCGCTTGTTATCAAACCCGCTGTTACTGCTTACAGGGTATATATATATATATATAAAGCAATTTGCAATTTAAAGCTGCTGCAATAATAATTCCAGTGTTAATTTTTGTGTTTAAAGTATTTCAACACATGCACATGCATTTGATGCCGAAAAATTATGGAGAATTAATTTAAAAATGGCGCATAGACCAATCGAAATGACGTTCATTGAGCTGGCAAGTGACTAAAATGTTGTGTGTTGCGCAGCCTGCAAAATATAAAACAATATAAAACATTCAATAATGCCAATAGAGACACTCGAATGCCATTTAATTTGATTTCCAATCGTAACCATAATATAATTGGGAACACTTTGCGGGCACTTAGACAGCGACATTTGCAGCGTGTGTTAATGACATAAAAGCGAATATATCTCTCGGTGTGGTATCTGTGGCTGCTAAGCGTTCTATTGAAATGCAATATATGTGATTTATGCTGTCGGCTATATATGCTGCATTGCCAGTCCTCATGCGAGGCATACAGGAAAGAGCGGAGGCTTGCAATTGTTTTCAAAAGAAAATATCATTTACGATCGATTAGAATAAGCTATATGATATTGTTGTCCGATGTTAACAAAATTGAGCAGCTATTTAAGAAGCAGAGTGAAACAATTAAATTTCATTTTGGTCAAGATAACTTTCAACACAAAAAAGTTTTTCCGAAGAGCTATGGACAGCTATGGCAGCTCTATTACTGACTACCGAAGAAAGTCGAAGGGCTCAGGTTAAGTTTGAAAATGAATCCTTTTTACCAAGGTTTATTGCTTGCTTCGAAAGTTATACACATTTGCGTGTCATACGTATGGTCTGAATATGTTGTAAAGATAAATAAACACCAAAGATATTCACGACCGGCGCTGTGTTCAGGGTATCTCCTAGTCGGGTTAAATTAGAACGCCTTATATAAGTTAAGGTATTATAAACATTTAATGAGAGTTAAATATATTTAAATTCTTTTGAAAGATTCTTTGTAAAAGTAACGAAAACTAGGTAATATGTAATCCAATGTTTTTGTTTAATCCTAGATAATATTCTTCTGTCAGATCCCATAAGGTTGCTAATTTCATACCTTTCATCTTCATAATAATTCATATCAAATATATTCTACCGCACATGTCTACTGCGTGTTTGTTGTTTCTCAGCTAATGCGTAAACATACAATTGATGCTACCATAATCTCTAAAACCTGAGTTAAGTTGGTTCATTTTCAATTCCGAAATTGAAGATGCTTCGTTGAGAGTCTGAAACTCAAAGCCTTGCATACAAGTGCTTTCTGTTAATCATTTGATTGCATAAACTTTAATCAAGCCCTTGCCGGAGCTGTTTTCAATTTGCAGATGCACTCGAAACATGTTCATAACGTTTTATTTCATGCATATATTATGTTTTGCAGGGCATGCGTATGTCAGGAGAGAGCACGGAAATTCTGCACCTGACGCAGCTGGAGCGGGAGAGTGCCGGTGCATATGCCTGCGGGGCCACCAACACGGAGGGGGAGACCCGCAGCTCGAGCCTCACCCTAAAAGTGCAATGTAAGTAAGCAGCTTTGCGGCAGGCGGGCTCGATATAAAAATAAGCATTATAGTAATAGTACAAGCAGCCACAACACTGGCAACAATATGATGGAATAACATGGCGGAACGGAAACGGAAGTTGCAAAATAAAATCAACTTGCTGCAGCTTGCGTGCCCATAGCAACAAAAAAATATATACAAATTTAAGTTTGCCAACTTGCGCAGCGGATGAGGAAATTGCTTAGAAATGATACATAGCCCAACTGTGACTATGTTGTGTGTGTGTGTGCGTGCGTGCTTGTTTACAATTGTAAAATTGTTGCTGGCACCAGTCTAAATAACCACCATTGATTTACACACAAAAGTTTTGGCTATAAATTTAACTCTCGCAATTTTTGCTCTGCCAACTTTTTCATAAACCTCACGCACTGCCTTTAGGGAACAGCCGCCGCCAGAATTTTTTTCATCAAGAGATTAATGTGCAGTGCATATAAAAACGATTGAACTGTATAAATCAGTCGATCTGTGTGCCCTTCGTGTACCCTAAGTGAACCCCAAGAGTGCCTCTAGTGGAGCTTCTCCGAGCTGGCACCTATCGTAAATTGACTTCATCACGTTCACCTTTCGCTTTCAACAGCTCAAAGCTGTTTACACTTTTAATACACTTATGAAGAGCACTGTACGCCAGTTACGAAATATACAATGCCTCAAAGCACTTTTTAGGCATTGTGAGAATCTAAATCGTTTGTTAGTTGCAGGCAACTCTTGTATAAAAACTATATAATGATATGAACTAAGTAAATATGTTAAAAATATATTCTTTCCTTATTCGAGTTTGTAAATTGTTACCATTCTTGATAAATCTCCTTAAGCCACATTTAGTTAGTTAATCTTTTCCAAACAACGCGATCACCTATTTAAGGCGACTTAGTTTGAGAGCAGATATCTATATCCTAAATAGAGTACAGCAAATCCGCACCTTTAGAAGAACTTTTCCTTGTTTGTTTTCTGTCGTATTGAAAACTTCTGGACCGATGTCCTGATTATTGCGTAACGACATTCAAGTCGAAAAGTACATGTGCATACATACTTATAGCTCTCTGACATTCGCAATCCTCTTACATGACGGAAATTTACAAAGGAAACTGATTCATTTTTCAGTGCTCGAAAGTCGGAAATGCGCTGCTTATGGATACGACAGTTAAAGTAGTTTTTATTTCGAATTATGAAAGTTTCAAGCATTGAGTTGTGGGTAAATTTGGCTCAACTCACACACAAGCAACAAGTACCTGTACACATGCACACACACACACACACACACACATCCACAATCCTTTAAAGCATATTGCGCTGACATGCAGGCAACTTGTGATAACAGCGCCAAGTAATGAAGCCTCAAATACTTATCAGCCTTGGCGTGACTTACATTTAAAGGCGGCTTTCAGCGCCAGGCAACGCCAGCTCAGGGCGCACGCACACAGCACACATGCGTCTTCATGTATATATATTTGATGTACATATGTCTGGCAGACAGTCTTGGCCCGTGGGCTAGGGTGCAACTTCCGTGTATGTGGTCTCATTTTACAGTCAAGTGAAAGTAAAGTCGACAACATCTTCTTCAATACCTGCCACTCACACATACTAGCAAAAACGCGCGCGCACAGCTTTACCCGCTTTTTTTGTAGCATAAACAGGGCCCACGTTCATGAAACGGAAACATGTTAATTACTATGCTCAAGGCTATGTAGCTGGCTCGACTTCCTTTAGGATTTAGCTTGCTCTTTCTTTTTATTTTCATTTTTATTTTTGTTGCTTAACTCCAGAGGCGTACAGACTGTTTACTCGATTGGGTGGCTGGGTTGGGTGCTCTCATATTTGAGAGCTGAAAGGAAAATTTAAAAACGAAATGTTCTGCGGCTTAACGACTTTTTCTTTGACTTGCTTGAATGCGATTTTCTTTTGGTTTTTGCATCTTTTCAGTCTCGCCGCGTTGTAAGCCGGGCACAGAGCAGACATCCATTGGAGCCATCAACATGCACTCGATACAGGTCAAATGCGAGGTGGATGCCGATCCCCCAGAATCTGTCCGATTTAGTTGGACCTATAACAATACGCGAAATGTTTCGCCGGTAAGTATTGGGCGGGCTACTCCCCAATTGCACGCCAAAGTCTTCTTTATCTTCTTGACTTGGAACTGTGATTACGTCCGCAAACGTGCCTCAACTTTGGCGCACAGTTTGTGCCGAGCTTAGCTGAAATTATTGATTCGAAAGCTGGAAAGCTGAAAACTTTCAGCTCGAATGTGGCCAGCTATTAGCAAAACTTGTGTTAAATACTTGGTAGCTAGCTGGGACTCCCGCACAACAATGGCACCCTGACGGGAATCAAACGCAGCAACTTTGTACGTGACTGAATTAAAATTTAATCAAAATGTATAAATTTTGCAGTGGGAAAGCAGAGCATTGTTGCCTAGCGAGCTGTGCAAGGTTGGGTGCGAGAACTGCAAAGCCTGCAGACAGAGGGAGATCGAGCAGAAGACATGCATATGCGAGTATACTAAGCACTGGGACAGCTGTGCACAATAAATAAAGTAATTCATTTACCGCAAAAGTTATTTGAAAATCTGCACGAAAATCCTGTGAGTCACACGCAGAGCCACAACTAGTCCCTTCTGGACCGAGCTGAACTCAACTTGGCTCGTTTCGACTTATCCAACTGTTTGCATTGCAATAAAAACCCATTTGCCTTAAAATATTTATGCTAACCAAACTGCCGGACTGTACGACTGCCCGACTGCCCGACCAACGGACTGACTGTTGCCAGGCTCCAATGATTTTGCCTACGTTTGCAGAACGATTCGTAATCCTTGTGCTGCTGATATTCTTGTGCTTGCAGGTGCTGAACTCCAGGATACAATCGAACGGACTGGCCAGCACGGTGACGTATCTGCCGCAAACCGACTCCGAGTTAATAACGCTCGCTTGCTGGGCCAGCAATACGGTGGGCAGGCAAACGGCACCATGTCTGGTTCACATACTGCCAGCAAGTAAGTAAAGGATATTGTTATTACCCCACTCCCTGCACCTGCAACTCCCTCATCCTGACTGCCTGGCTGCCCGAAGATGCCGACATTGTGTGCAATTTAAACAAGACGCCGCCTGTGTCTGAGTTGGTGTTGGCGTTGTTGGCCGTGTCTATTATGCACACCAGAGGATCTACTTACATAATTGGTTGGTGTGTGTATGCGCTGCAATTGAGGCAGCCAGGCAGCGCCTTGGCCTAACCCATGGCAAATAATCATCAGAGTACGCGGTCTACCTGCAGTTCGTATTATTATAAGGTCTTTGGCCAAATTTGGCCGTTATTAATGCAAACGGTGGGCGTGTCGCTGCCTCGCCTTTATTTGCGCAAAGTGGCGAAAATGATGCCCCAAATTCAAAATGCAAATTGTTACCAATGCCAACTGTAAATTATCCTGCAATAGACCATTAAGAGCAACGTCTGTCCTCACAGCCCCCCTCCTCTCTTTCTCCCCCTGCAGATGCACCCGAGGCGCCAAAAGCCTGCGAACTGCGCAACGATACTGTCCTCGAGGTGGTTTGTGTGGCCGGCAGCGACGGCGGACTCTCGCAGTACTTCATGCTGGAGGTGGTTGGCGGTGATTTGCTGTATGCCAGCGAGTCGGCGGCGGCGGGCAAGGGTCAGTTCGGCGAGACGGTTGGCCAGGGCGACAATGAGATATCCACGCTCAATGATCAGGTGAGTCCTCAATTCAGTTCAAACGTATTTTCAACACGTGCAGTTGGCGTTCAGGGAGTCTGGCGCACTGATTCAATTACAGTTAAGGCAAGGGCCAGCGAGCGAGCGGGTTGCCTGAGGCAGAGCCACAATTTGAACCGCTTGAAATCCATATGGTCAATTAGTGTGCTCGTCCTTTCTGACTTTTCTGCTTGAATTATTAATGAATTTGATTTTGAGACAAGCCAGACGGGCCAGTTGCTCGGGTTGAGCCAATCGGCTCAAGCGTAAAAAGGACAACATAATTAATGCTATGAGTTTCCATTCGAGGCAAACAGTTTAACCAACTGAGTGGACAAAGGACGGCGGACGATGGACGGGGGCTCAACTTCATCCATAAGCCAACGCGGTGAACACATGCTGAGTTATTAAATTATCTCTGTCACTCGTAAAAGAGAATATCATATGAAAATTTCATTTCATTTCGTTTGGTTGCATTCACCAACTTAAGTTAGGCAGATGAAGGGGCTTGGTGAGAGCGGGGGGCTGGGCGGTAAGTCGGGTACACGCCAGTTGCTTGCTTTGCTGATGAAGCGCTGGGCAGGCGACTTTATTAGCAATGTAGCCAAGCGCAAAGCAACGACTGGGCCAGGAGCCGAGCAGAGGCAAGCGGAAAGGATGATGAGCAGGACATGGACTCCGACCAACGTTGGACGTTTGCAGCTTTAAAGTTTCACGCTAGATAAAAATGGCATACACCAAGGGTCGTGGGGGCGGGACAGCCACATTGACAGCAGCTACAGTACTCAGCTACATTACAGTACGGTGGACGGTGGACGGTGGTCTGCGGGCTGTGGAGCTGGGTTGGGATGGCATAAACGCCGCAAGGACAACATAAATTACTTACGCTTACTTGAGTGGGAATTTGTGCGTAACCAACGAAGCTCACTCGATTGTGTCCTATTACGGCAAACGGATATTCAGTTTAAAATTTCAGACAGCGTTCTGGTCAGAACAATGTGGCATTCCCGACGCTATCCCCCACCCCCCACATGCACTCTAAACACATTTTTAGGCATGAATAATTATTTATGGGCTGTGTTCTGTCATAGTCGTGTGGGCGTGTGCAGAAAGTTTTGGGCCCCAAAAGTTGGCAACAAATAAGCGTAGCATACTTTATGGCTAAGCCATATGGCCAGCATATTATGATGCGACACATGTCTATCAAGATATGCATATATATGATATATACAACTCTCAACTGGTTATCTGGTTTTTATTTTGCTGTTTCGTTTTTCTCTTCTTTTTTTTAGGCTACATCTGCACCCATCTTTCGCATACAGGAAAACAGTCCACAATTTCGTTTGAATAATTTAGAGCCGGGACGTGAATATCAATTTTTAGTTTATGCCGTTAACGCAAAGGGACGCAGCGAGCCGCCGGTGGTGATTGAACGTGTGCGCGTGGCTGCACAACTGGGACCATATGGTGAGTACCCGACTACCGAGTAACCGAGTGCCCGACTGGCCGACTGGCCGGTTGGCCGAATCACAAGACAAAAGCCCCACATAAAGTGTGCCAAAATATTTGCCAATTGCCAAACTGAATTTGCCTTTGCCAGTTGCCAGTTATCAGTTGTGGGCTACTTTTGTGGATATACCAATAATGTTGACCGAGTTGGGTTTCTGGTAGTTGGTAGCTAGCAGCAATTGACGTAGCTGTCTAATTCAACGCTTCAGTGAATTTTCAAATCAACGCAAGTACAAGGAAATCATCTTCAATCAGCCGCCGCGAAAACTGTGCACATGGCGCACGCACAAGCAAAAGCAAGTAACCTGATGTCCTTTGCAGCCTGGCTGACTAGCTGGTTGGCTGGCTGCCTGGCTGCCTGGCTGGCTGGCTTGTAGGTTTGCCGCTGAGGCCGCCCTTTTCTAATCCACTGACTGAGTTATGCAGCGAAGCGTAAAGCATTTCAGCATTTTCCATCAATGCGCTGAGCGAGGCACGCATATTGCGTATACGCAAGGGCGTGCCGCTACAGCCTCTTCATTTTTACCATTCTTAACGACAACTGTGTGTGGTCACATGTGTGTGTGTGTGTGTGTGAGTGTGAGTGTGGTGTATGTCATTGGCAGTGCCCTTCTTTATTTCATACCATCGAGCGAGAAGGAGAAGCGAAATTGCTTCAATTTTCGTTTTGCTTAACGGGACGCCGTAGACACTTTGCTTTTATTGTTCGCCTCGCATTCGCATTCGCACTCGTCCATTGCGTATACGTACAAGTAAATTCGTGCGTAGGCAGCAACGAGAACAATGTTGTCATTATTTTCATGCTGATTTTTATTTTTATCTGCATTTCCATTACCATTTTCATTTGCAGTGGCGGCACTGCGGCACCGCCTGTGGCACTGGCTGTGGCTGCCTCTGGCTCTGGCACTGCGTCGCCTGCCACGCTCTTTGAACATTTCCATTTGCCTTAACACAGTTCGACTTGGCCATAAATCACATATAATATTGACCGATTTAATGCACCTAATTGTGCTTCATACGCAAATGTTCAATTAAATGTTCCTTGTCCACCATCCCGTCCTGCTAGCCAGGTCAGTTTCAGTCAATGAATTTGTTAGTCATTTAAGCCCGACCCTCTGTACGTCTTCTCGTCTGTCGGTCTTAATGCATTCATTCGGCCTCGGAACAATAAATGTGATTACCACAGGGCCGTAGTCGGTGCCAGTGCAAAAAGATCCCTTGAAGGCTCTGATAGGAGTAATTTATGCGAAATTTTAACATTGCCAGTCAGCGCCTTCCTTCGCAGCTTCTATTATTTACACATTGTCTGGGACTACCGCGTCGGTGCAAGTGAAAGTGGCTGTAGGGAGTGGAGGTGTGAGGGTGTTTGGTAATAAATAGGCCAAGACAGCGTCGCTCTGGAGTCACAATATTTACGTGTGAATAACGGCATAGCCGTCGACGCTTGACGATGATTTTTGCTGCAGATTTAAATCTGTTTGCGTCGAAATGAAAAACACATAAGGCTAAGTTATTCGCATAAAAAACCTAATGAAAAACGGTGAAGGAAGTGCCCACATGAGTCAGGAGAGAGTAGGCAGCAAATAAATTGGTAAATCTGGTATACGCAAACAAATCTGTTAGCCAGAAGCCTAAAGGAAGAATGGCTGGTTAAAGAGAACAGACCAAGATCTTGGGAGAACAGCAAATACCCTGTGCTCATGAATGATGTACTCCATAATAATAATAATTATAGTAGATGTGTTTCAAAAATTAAGAATCTTTTTGTGACAAAATGGGATAAGGGAGTGCGTTGCGAATATCGGTATTGGTATGAAAATAGAATACATGTAAATATTTAAACTCAAAGTGTGGCTTGAAGAAGCAAAACTGAAAAGCGCTTTAATATAAATACAAACAAGCATTCCCGACTATTTTGCTTAGATACAGGGTATGGCAATGGCAGAGATGTGGCCAAGAATATTGAAAAGAAAATTGTTGGCAAAGGCCAGCAGCATCAATGGCAGCCGCACAACAACAAAAATTAAATTGAGCCGCAGGTGTAAGCAATTTCCACTTAAATGCTCGCTCTAAAAGCCAGCCGAGAGCCACCATAGCAGCCACTTGGCAGTGTTTCAATACGAAGCTCGCAAATGGAGCGGAAATGCTGCAAAGCATAGGAGTGAACGAGCGAGCTCCTCCTGGCGGGCGGGCAACTGGGCAGGTGGGCGGTTGGCTGAGACAAGACGAATGAATCGCATAAATCTTGCCTCTGGGATCATCTTACAAAGAGTTTGCTGTTGCAATTTCCGCTTCACCATCTTTAGCTGAAAATCTAATAAATATAAACAATGCCTTCCTTTCACATATTGCTAATAATTGGCGAAGCTCTTTCAATCTGGAGCAATCAGCGTCTTGATTTCGATGTCCTCGGCAGCGACTAGCAATTAAAGCCTTATCGAGGTCCTGGCAGCTCCGGGCAACCCAGGCTTCGAATTCCACCGCACAGGCGATTGCCCAATTGGGCTAATTTCAATTTTCAACACAATTTGCTACAACAACACAAGCGTAACGACAAATGCTAAGAAAACAGAAGACCCCATAAACAAATACTACAGCAAAACAGTTAAAGCAATCAGTTAAGCAAAAGGCGAAACGTGTGCACACACACAGACACACACACACGGAGTCCCAAAATAAAACAACAAAACAAGTAAATAAATGGCAAATGTAACGCAAAAAAATGAAAATGGCCAGATGAGGAGTGTGGAGCAGCGGCTGCTTCCACAAGTTCATACTAATTTCGAGCAAATAACAAATCATTGTGCGCCCCGCCCCTACACAAGACCATTTTCGTGCCCAACAAACTATTTGATTTCTAACCTGCGTCCACGTCTCGTTTTGTTTTATCTCACTTACAGATGAATCTATTCTCTCGGAGGACCCGACGCCCGCGGAAACCACGCATCATGTGGGCGGCAGCAGCAGCAGCAGCAGCGCGAATGGCGTCGGCGCCGGCGCCAGCATCGGCAGCGGTCCAGAGAAGGAGTCGACGCTCCTTATACTTGCCACCGTCGTGGCGATAGGCGCCGTCATTGTGACGTCAATTATCGTGGCCGGCATTGTTGTTGTGTGTCGGCATCGGCCGCGGCCACCTGAGCCGCAGGAGGTGCGCAAAAGCATGCGGTAAGTCTGTCATATATACCCTGTAAACGGGTGTGCAAACCGGGTAACCTGAAACTGGACTTCGTAGATAAAGTCTACATAAAGTTGATCTAGCTGTAGCCTGAAAGTGAAGGATTGCACAGGGTAACGCCAGGTCGAGCAGTCCTACAATAAATTGTGTGTTGTTGTTTCTTGTTATTGTTTTGACTTGAGCGCATATAAAAACAAATAATGAAATTGTTTGCGCTGCTGCTGCGGCTGTGTGTGCAGAAATAATTACAGCATTATTTATGTGGCGCACGTGTGCTGCAGCAGCAGAAGCAGCAATGGTAGACGAAGGGCAGCGGCTGTAGAAGAAGGGGTAGCGGTTGAAGCCACAGCGTAAATAATAATTGTAGCATACTTTTTCGCGCCGTTTCATAAAATATAATTAAAAGGCATAGCGAACGCAAGAAATTAGTGCACATTTAATTGCACGTTTGCTTTAAGTTCAAGTCTTTAAAATGCGATCAAATCAATGCGCCTGACCACAGTGCCTGGCAACGGCATCAGGCTCATTAAACATTTTGCCGGCAATGACCAAATCGATTAGCCCGCAGCAATAGACCGAAAGCCGCCCGTGGGCCCAAGCTAAACAAAGAGCACGCAGCTGCCCACTAAATTATGCTTAGACTGTAATTAAATTAATTAAACCTGCACCTGACTATGACCCACAAAGGAGCAGAAAAGAATCAAAATGAACGACACTCGCCCTCGCTGTGTGTCTGTTTGTATGTGTGTGTGTGCTGTGCACCGGAAACGGAAGCCGCTGGCCTGACACCGCCGCACCGCAAAGAGAGTTTCATTTAAGATAAGAAATCAGCGTTAACTTTGAAAGGGTCGCCCAGCAAAGAGTATATAATTAAGCAGCTGCTTAACCTGCAGCTGCCTGCCTGTCGCTCTGCCTCTGTCTAAGTCAATGCCTCTGACTCTCGGCAGTGACAACCATCCGGCCGTCCAGGTAACAGCGACCGGACTCAGGACTCAGGCGACTGTCAGCTGTGGCCCTAGTTGGAGCCTGTGCTAATGAAAGACAAACTTGCAACCACAGTGGCAACTTCTATGTGCGGTGTGTGTGTGTGTGTGCGTAATGCTTAACTCATTCATTTAGTTACCCTTGGAGTCCTCTGCGTGCGTCTATCTATTTGCCAGAATGCCAAATTGATGTTGCCACTCAATCGTATCAGGCGCCTGATTATCGGTCCACCTACTCGTGGAGAGAATGATGGGAATAGGAGGAGTGGGCGGGGGACACTCGATGGGGCATTACTTCAAAGCAAAGCCCAACAAATATTAATTAAAATGCGCTAAAGTAAAAAGTTACAAAAATAGCAGCAGCTAGTTGATTGGCTGCCTTCTGCCTCGTCACATTTGTCACATCAAAGCGAGCCGCATGTGGGTCATTAAATGGTCGCTTTATAAATTTGTTTTAGGGGGTGGGGCTAATGATATAGTGGCAATAGAGGCGCTCTCAATGCGACTCTTGGCCAATCGCAATCATACGTATATTCCATCCGAGAGAGGCGTGTGCGCATAAGTACTCCATCAAATTATGTATTATATCAGTGGCAGTGTGTCAGGTGAGCTGATCCCCGCACGCCCCCTTGTTGCCAAGTGCGCCAATGCATAAATTTAAGCGATTTGCCTTTTGTGGCAAAAGTAAAAGTGCAAATATTTAAACGGACACACACGCACACATGGCAAACACACACGCGGTTTCGTTGTGTGCGTTCAATTTTAACTGATAAGGGCGCATCGGAATTAATTAGCATTTGCGCTAGGGGTGGCCGTCAATTACAGCAGATCTGGGAGCAAACAGATTGAAATTTCGCTGTTATGTGTCCCGGCAAAAGCGTGTAGTGAACCTCAGCGATGTTGCGCATACGCCACGGGCAACGGGACTATTGAATAGAAAATGTGAAACGGCTTAAAAAGTGGCAGCAGCTGCTCCCAGGTGGCCAACTAATATTGTTGTTCTTGTTGACTTGTGCTGGTCGCTTAGGTTGCGGTGTTTCACTTTTTAACAAATTTGTCGCAATGCAAAAAAATGGACACCGTCCGGGGAACTATTAGCAAGTTGTTGGCGGGCATACCTCTCTGTGTGGCTGCGTGTGTGTGTGTGTGTGTGTGTGTGTGTCTAAAAACTTTTAATAGATTTGTGAGACTTGTTTTTCTTTTTGTTTTATTTCCCACAGGCCGGCGCGCAACGATGTGCCCTCAATGTACATTGAGGAGGATGAGCTAAACGAGTTGGAGGAGGGCGGCGGACGAGCTGCAGAGATACGTGCTCGAATCACACCTGCCACATCTCATCTGTGCGGCGGTGCTGGAGGCGGCGGCATCGGACCCAGCGGCGGCATTGTGGGCGTCGGCGGTCCGCACCATTACATCTCCGAGAGCTTCATACAGTACGCGCAGCCCAGTCTAAACGGTACTATTCCAAAATCTATACTCAACAAACTGTAGCCAGTAGCTGAAGTAGTCTAGTCAAGTATCCAACTCTTACTAAATATTCTGTATATCGTATTTAGCTCGCCTGCATCCACTTGGTTTGCCTTTTACCTCTTGAGTTCTGTTTGAGTCCACACTTAATATTAAGTTGTATTCATAGTTTTAGTTGATTGATTGCTGCAATTTAATTAAACTTAATCGAATTCTATCGACTGTAAATACTTTTTAGATATTTATGCACACAAATTGCCTGCACAAATATAAATGTAAGCGAGTACTTATTATGAGTGGGTTCCATGCATATGTAGAATAGCTTAATATCTCAAATGACGTGAAACCAAATTAATAAAATGTCAATGCGACTGTCAATAGGTCCATTAGTCAATCTATTATTTATTCAGTTTCAGTTTTATAATTTTCTAAAATTATTTTTAATAGCATCAAGTGCATGTTAGTCTACATTAAATTAGTTGTAATCGGTAAACAGGCAACAGGGAAAATCGCGTGCGTTCACAATATTTGTGGTTAATATTGTGTTTTTATTTTTCCATGATGCACACATTTTGACACACACATACACACAACCTCACACACTGCTGCATACATACTCCAGTTAGTTTATTTACTGCTGTGGGGTAGAGCGCATTTCATTCAGCATTGAACAAACCAGCAAATAAATTACTTTTTTAATATCCTTGTGTTTGAAATTGAAAAACTAATTGGCCCTCATTTTATTTGCTAAGTAGCTTATGATATGCTATTTTCTAATTAGCATTAATCGAAACTGTTCGTAGTTTTCATTTCTATTGATTCATTTCCCATTTTCAATTGATTGCCAACACTGTAGGGCAGCACTTGAAGCATATACATATATATGTATGCTTACAATGTGTACACACTCGTACAGATTGGCTCACCTTCTGCTACCAAGTGCCTATGTTATGTAGTAGTTGCCCTGGGATCCCGACAGTACTTTATAGATAGCTATCTTCAATTGCTCTACAGTCAAAAGCCACATTCTATCTATCTGTCACTCTAATAGCTTAGCCCCTCTTTCTCGCTCTCTCTCTCTCTTTGTATCTGTCCTGTTGGTCGCTTTTCACCCATCACCAAACAACTTAGTTAAATTCTAGACTTGAGGCTGTAAATACCTTGCCTAATATTTAAAGCAATGTAGTGCACAGATAATTTGTAAAGTTGCAACTTTCACCTGCCTTAACTCCAACCCTGTCATCATTCTGTGGCGCTACTAACGATGCATTCAAACACTGTTACCGCTAACCCATCCTAGGCGACGTGCTGCTACCTTTGCTTGTTACTGCCGGCCACCCGACCAGCCGCTACCGCCGAGCAGCCGACCCACTCCACTCTGCCACAATGTCGGACGTGGTCGTGGCCATGTGCCACCCGGCTGCTGCAAAACTCTGTGCAACTGCTACCGATGCGTCCGCCTGGCCGCCCAAATGTATGCAAACTGAATTTTATAAAGCAAAATCTGTGCAAAAAGCTGAAAAGCAAGAACCAGCTTAGAACAAAAACAATAACTACACACATACTTAGAACTTAAACTAAAGAAACAAATAGAGTGTTTATAGCTGGATACACAATGTCTTCTAAAGCTCCAATTAAGCAAGTCCAAATATTTCGTATACGAAAATTCAAATAAAAGAACAAAACCTTGCTTTATTTCATATTTTAATTTTCCTACATTGTCATACATCGTCTACAGATCGATTGTCTGTGTTCACATTTCCACTTTGTATACTCTAAAATTGACTAGGGCGACTATTAACAAAATTCGATATTCCTTTTCATATTGTTAAAAGGTTAAAGCAATTCCCTCAAACTATAAATTTCTCTTAAATTTGAGGCTAGCGAGGAGATATTTTTAAAAGGCAAACAACTTTAGCACTTAGCATAGAGCATCTGAAAGACGTGAGTTAGCGATTGCAAGGCATTTTGAGGTTTTTCGTTTTGGCTTTCTATGGTTCTCTGGCTGATGACTTTCTCTTTGACATTTGCATTTTGCTGCGCAAATTGCACAACAAAGCCACAAATTTCTTTTAATTTAGAGTATTTTGACAATTGTGGATGGGATTCCTCTAGCCGAAAACGGACCATAAATGTTGCAGCAATTGGGTCAGCAACGCATGTGTGTGTATGTCTGTGAATGTATGTGTGCGTGTGCAGTTAAGCAAATCATTTGAAAATTAAAACCATCTCAGCATCGTACTCTGGTACTCTGGTACATTGTGGCTGCAGCAATCTGCTCTTTATCTGCCTCAATCAGGAGCAATAATAGGCATTTTCCAAACAATTAAAGGATTGATTGTTTCACATCGACAGCAATGACATTGCACAAGAGAAAATGTAATAAAATATGATTGAAGATTTTAAAGTGCTTTTGTTAGGAATTTGTGTGTCAAGTCTTGATGGTCAATAACCACTGCACACGACAACAACAAAGTACTGACAGCAGCAACCCAACAAGTGACATGACAATAGCATGCTCATATGTTAAATATTGTATTTAAAAAGGACAAATGCTGCAGAGCCCTGCTGGCACAAAGAAACGATGCGTCGCCACTACAGTGGGCCATTTTAGATATATTCCTAGCAAAATACATAGCTGTAGAAGCATTTAACATATGTATTTTATATGGAAAGCTTATTATTTTGCTGTCAAGAATTTCATTTATCAAAAAGCAAAATAATCATCGTATGTAACAATTCGCATAAGGTTCGATAGAGTTGTGTAAAAAGTCATTTGCCTATTGCTCATCTCTGAGTCATCAAAAAGATAGAATGTACGTCTCTTTTGGGGCTATACGAGTTTTAAAATTTAGGGCTAACAATTTTGATATCTAATTTACAGCAGGTTTTTTGCAGATACAACGTTTTACATTCGAAATGTCAGACTAGAAATGAGGACTGCATTTGTTTTCCAAACAAACACAATTTAAAGATTTTTCCAACGGTTTTCATGCGGCTGTTCCACTGTGCAGCGCATAACGAATGAGGTCGTAATGTAGCAGCTATTTGTATTGGTATTAGAATTGGTATTTGTGTCTGCGTCTGTGTGAAAAAGCCCTTTGGACACGTTGCACACAGCTACAACAGTGCTACATAAACATGTAGCACGAGTACACAAGCCAGATACAAAGTTATATGCAAATACTTGCTTGCATCTAGTGCTCGTGCGTTGCACGCTCGGCGAGTGCAGCAAACAAATTTGCAAAATATGCTGCTCGCTCTGTTTACTTTGCGAGCACGTGTAGATTTTGTTTTAACTTTAAATTGCATAAATTTCAATTATGTTTTGCAAAAGCACTAAATTAAAAAGCATAAATAGGCAGACCATTTGCGAGCATGTCAACATGGCGAATGCAAATATTATTCAACGGGCAGTTGTGACGTATACGTGATTTTATATTAAATTGAATATGCACATGCCAGCCCACTTCCGCGATTCAGGCCCGCATTATTTGGCTGTAATACGAACACTGCCTCATGCAAAGGTCACAAATTAGCCACATTGTTGTTACTTTTTTATACTTTTACTCGGTCCCATGCCTGACAACTTTTCAATTTATAGGCGCCGTGACATGCCGCAGCGCCTCTCACATTTGACAGTCAGACACTCATACACAAACACAGGGGCAGGATGAGAGGGAGATGGAGACCTGTACACATGCACCAAGTTGACTTGCTCTTGTTCACAAGACACCAACAAGTGCCAAAGCCAGACTGAAGTGTGCCCGGGCGGTTCAAAAATGTTGGTACTGTTGGCAAAAAGCTGAGGGTCTGAACAGTTTAAGGCCCGTCGCATGAAGAATACTCTTCAGCTTAAAAGCTATTTGTGTCGCCTGCAGAGAAGTGTAAATGAATATATTTTATTAAACTTACAAGCGTGACCCATAAAGTCCAGTTATAAGTATCTAAAGAGCCGTATCTAACCAATTATTTGAATAATAAAATATCTGATAATTTTTTCACTTTTATTTTATATACTTACTCTCGCTCTTTTCCCCAAGAAGGTATACCGCATCGTTTTACTTCTCACTTTGCTTCTTCCTCTGAGCATCTTGTCGAAAGTCATGTACTCTGATGGCACATAGTGCCGTGCTCAGACAGAATGTCAGCACTTAGAGCGCACTAATTCAACTGAAGAAAGTGAGTTACTCACATGTGTGTGTATGCATGTATTTTCATATGTGTATGTGTGAGTATGGAGCACCATGCTACATAGCCGCCATGCCTGTCAGCGCCCAGCGACTGCTGCTGCTGTCATTAGCCAACATTTTTAATTGCATACAGCCTCGCTAGATGGCGCCCGCGTCGCAAATTGAATAAGGGGTAGGGTACCAGGTGATGGGTTACTGCGGGGCAGGTTAGGAGAGTTTAGCTCGTGTTTTCTTTACAATCAGCGAACCTCTTGCGCAGGCAAATACGTTTGACTTTTTCAGCTTTTACATACAACGCTATGAGCGCGCTCGTGTGTTCGTTCGCGTGTGCGTAAGCGTGTTTGTGTGGCTGTGTATGTAGGTATTTGTTTTTGCGTATCCTTTTTTTGTGCACATTTGTTTCATTTCATGCTGCACCATTCATTTTGCTCGACATTTTGTCTTATTGTTGTTATTGTTGCTGTTGTTGTCGCTGTGTGTGGACGTTTGTGTTGTTTGTCTGTGCGCGTCATGAGTCGCGTCGCCAACCGGGTAACATTCGTGCAGCTGTCCTTGGGCTCTTACTTTTTGCGCCAGCTGCCGCAAGATATGTGCTACACATATTGTTACATGCACATGTAAGTGTGTGTGTGTGTTGGCTGCTTTGGGCTCTTGTACACTTCAGCGGCACTCGTCTAATTAGTTAAGTTAAGACTGGGTCCGCAGTGGCAGCCAGTGAAAAAGAGGCCGACTCAAGTCACTAAGAGTCGTCATTTGTTGCGGTGCTGCTCGCTTAAAGGCGACTTAAAGCGTGCTGTAAAAATTATAACAGCTTTATAGGCCTTGGGCGCTCTCAACATCAACTTTGATGTCTGTGGCCGAGCCGCAAGAAGTGCCACACAATTTGCTTTGGCAACATTGTTGATGCGGCCTTTGCTGCCACACGCACTAGCAGGGCTCCTCTGTGGCACTTCAATGTCAACGCTCGTTCATTTGTCGCCGCACTTCCGTTCCCCTTTCCCTGTTTGCCTTTGACTACCAGAGCTGGCAACATTTTTGCAACTTTTGACATTTTTAATGCTGCCTGGCATGGCGTGAAAGTAAACGTGAAAGGTCCCACACAAACACACACGCACACGCACACATACGCAATGTGCGACGCCATTTGGACGTTGCTTTAGTTTGTGAGTCTTTATGACTCAAAGACGCCACACAAATGTGACATAAAGGGCGATAATAATAAAATATAACACAGGGCGCTATGGCAGAACGAACGTCAAATAACAAACTGCAAAATCGTAAAGAACGGCACCGGCAGCCAGCTCTAGATGGCGCTTGACCTGGGCTCGAACTCAGGGTGTGCTGTGCGGGCGACACAATAAAATGTATTCGAACATAAATGTGCGATAAAAATTAAGAAATTGTTGAATTATTTGGTATTTACGATCCAGCCGGGCTCATCGCGAGGGGGAATATATTAATATTTATATGCTGTTGTTGTTTTTGTTTTTGTTTGTTGTTGTGCTTGGTTGTTGCTCTTATCGGCGCACAGTTGGTCACGCTTTTGATATTTGCTAATAGTTACGATAACTTTTTCTTTTACATATTTTTCATTTGCTGCCAAAACAATTTGCAACTGTTATATGATGTCATTTTGCCAGTGTTATGAATTTCAGCAAAACAGAAAATAAAAACAAATAATAATAACAATAAAGTCAATAAAACAAGCATAACTAATCGGTGAACACAAATTGTACTTTTGTTTTTCTTCTCATCCACAACCGACTCTCCCTCACACACATACACTTGCGCATTACTCACTATTAATTTTATAAAATTCGCACACATACACACACATTCACACACACACACACCTGTACATTTACGCCATTGTTGTTGATTTTGTTTTATGCCAACCAACCAAAGTGTATATTGCAGACCCGGATCTAATATTACCGCGCGGCGAATTGGAATTTACGACTCTGGATCCCACGCTGAAGTAATTGTAAAGAGTAATAATATCTACCGCAGTACACATAGCCTCCTTCCCTCTGTCCGTGTCATGAAGCTCTATGATAGCCATGGCGCCTTGAGTCGCACATTGGGCAACATAGTTCATGACAATTTTATTTTACATAGCTGTAAATTTTTAGCCTAAATTTAATTATATGAATGTCAAAGGTAAAACACGCATGCATATTTCTATTGATGTGTGTGTATCAGATACAGGGGAGAAACCCTTTTGTGTATAAGTGTCATATAAAATGCAATGCAAAAACAAAAACTAAGTTTAAAAAAAAAATACAAAATAACTAAGCGGCTTTGCCACTTCATAAAACATGAATTTTGTAAATCTTAACACATACATTAATACAACCACACATTCAAACGCAATCAAACACAGATGAAAATCAAAAAAGAGAGCAAACCAAAAACGAGCATCATCGCCATCAAATGTACATATAGAAGGGGCAAACATGAATCAAACTGCATTTAAATGTTAAATACAAACTGTAATTATAATAAACATTTCAGTTATTAAGCTAGGTATTAGGCCAAGTTTAGTTATTAGTCTGATTGTGTGTATTTCAAGTAAATTAAATTGTAACTCAACTCAAATTGCAAAGCGGAAAACCAATAACAACACACGAGATACAGACGAGAGCCAATGCTAAATCAAAATTCATCAAAATTAACAAAATATTTAAACTAAGTGCTCGATATATGCTTAAGTTACGTGAAATGTATATTGGAGAATATTCAATTGGGAAATTCCCTCAGAAAAGCGCATAACTAGGCGATACTCGTTCTCGATTGAGGTCAGGAATAGCCCACATTGTAAATTATAAACTCCGACAGGCATTGCAAGAATTTACAGCAACAAATTAATATCGGATTATGTATTTTTGTGCAATTGGGCAGGCAGGTCAAGAATTTATAGCAACAAAACAATATCGTAACTGTGAACCGTCAGTCCTAGTTCGCAGCCCAATGAGGCGCCTGCAGCCTGGTGAACAATTAAAATGCTAAGGAAATTTAAGAAGCCATTTTCGCCGTTGGCAATGGGTATTTTTTCATTTCATGTGCAATTTCCATGAAAATTTCGTAACAAGCAAATTTCAGGACCCGCCCACTGAACCTGACGTATTGAGGTAGGCGCTGTGGCTGACTATATATATATATATGAATTCATTCATGAATATTCTATTACCATAACAAAGGCTGGCCAAAACAAAGTAAGCGCAAACTTCGAGTGCATAATGAATAAATGTTAAATAAATTAAAGACTCAGCAGCCAGCGCAACCACAAATCTAACTACAACTGCAACAAAAAGAACAAAAAGGACAGCAAATACAGCAGATAAATAGCAACAACTACAATAATATAAATTAATTCATTGTATGTACATGTTATAAATAACTAAAGTAATCGACTAAAAATACATAAAATCTAAATACTCTAGCATTTATGGATAGCATTACACACATATTCATGGATGTGAGTGTGAATGTGAATATCAAATATGCAAAACAAAATGGCAGCCTAGCAAAATATACACTGCGTATGCGTAATAAAATAAATTACAATTATACCATAGATCAATAGCAAAGCGAAATGAGAGCGGGACGAGGCGTAGCAAGTCGAGCCAATTGAATTTTCTTGTACTTGCCCGCCTTCAGCATCAACCTCTCGCATCTCTCTCCGTTTCTCTCTATCTCTCTGTCTTTCTCAGAAAAACAAAATTACAAAACTAAACTGATTATCTTTAAGGTGAGGTTAGTTTTACAGATGAAATAAACTTAAATTAAATGGTAAATATATTTAACAATTAAGTTGAAACTACTGAGTGTGTTAATAATATTAATGAATACTTAATAAATAAACTGAATTAAAATAAAATATCCATTTTGCATTCAAATCAATTTCAATTACCTGCATTCAGCGCAACATCAAACTCCAAATGGATGCCAACTTTGCCGCGCTGCTAGCCAACTTTTCCCAAGGGCTAAGTGATATTAATGCGCCTTAAATCCTGCAAAGAGCCAAAACATTGGACCTGCAAGGACTCAAGCAGTTGCTCCCATTAGCTGCACTTCTAACTGCAGCACCTCTCGCCCTGCCCGAGGCGAGTAAACGAAACAACAGAAAGGCCGTTAGCTAAGTCGGCCTTCATTAATTTACACGGCGAGTTGGCCAACAGCTTTTCTTGAATGGCTTGCAACTTGACTTGCACTCTGGATGGCAGCTCATTCCATCAAAGGAGTCAATAAAATTTGAAGCGAGCTCGCTGCAAACTTTTCAACTGCAGTTTATAGTACAATTTAATGCTAGTTTGGTAAATTGCATTGCATATTTTCCCTACAGATGCAACTTTTTAGCTCGGCCAGCTCAATAGAGAACATTAGTTTTAATACTTGAGCTGCAATTAGTTAGCAGCATCACTTGAGGGTTTGTAATTTCTTATCTTCATTCTATGTCTTATGAAATATTTTGTAGAATATATAATTGACCCGATAATTGAAATTAGGCACTACTAAATAAGATTACCTTTAATCCGATGCGCAGAGAAAGTACTCGCTGAAATGGCGATAAGGACCAACATGAATAAAAAAAGAACGATTGCTCAAACTCGTAAGTCCATGACTGAGACCTTGAAATATTTGGTTAGGCACAACTTGAAGAACGTAGCATAGAGATATATGGTAAATATGTGTTACCTAAGTATAAAATAAAGATCAGAATTATCAATAAGCAGTTCTTCAATTTTCGTAGAATCGTATACCTTTATCAAATTCCTATTTCAAAGCATAAGAGTCCATGCCGCGACCTGCTTGGCACGCAATTTATTTATTTAATTTTTTATAAATCAGAAGTTAATGGAAATCCGGTCTAACTCTAAAGTAAATTAAATTAATTCGGAATATGTTGATTGACAAAACCAGGTTTATTAATTGCCAAAGTGTTCCAGGTTAAAAAGGGTTTAATTTGTACCGATTTTCCTTCGTGCATTCTGCCATTTTATTAAATTGACTCGTTCTTTTGTTAGACGGGCGCGGTGGAATGAAATTCCGGGAACTTCTCTGCAGCAAATGCATGAACTTTCTTTGTATTTTCGCTTGGGTAGAACGAGGGAAAGACGGAAAACTAATGCCAGATAAATCCACAGATTTGCACTTAAGTGCGTAAATCGAAATGTCGGCATGGCGGGGTGGTATGAGGTAGGTTGAGCAGACAAATTGTTGAATTGTTGGTTGCGTTCTTTTCTGTGACAGGCCTTGCTTAACCTTAAAGCTGATGAGCAAATGAGACGGCGTTTAGCTGGCCAAATCTTTGGCCATTCTGAATACACAAAGAAGTGCTTAGCCAGAACATAACTGCTGAAATATTAATGCTGCAGCAATTGGGCGGCGATCCAAGAGTCGGCTCTAAATGCCAGCTTTGAATTCAATTAGTCTCGCGACCATCTGCAACTGGTTAGAGGTCTATAACAGGCCCGGTGCACTGCAGCAATTATTGAATTCTCTTGGTGACAAAACCCTTAAAAGAGTTGTAACTGCTCACTCACACTAGGCACCGCTTGGCATTCATGGCAGCCATAACAATCACAATCCCAATCACCACCACATCAATGTCCGCCTTTTGCAGGCCAATATTGCCAGGTAGACATCCTGACCTGGTCGCAGCTTAAATTTGTCAGGCCACAAACGCTGTCGAGGCTTGCAGTGCCTGCAGATATGCCGAGCATCCTGTCCGTTGTCCTTTTTTTCATGTTTTTCATTTCTGTTGGGCTGCTCGTCAGCGGATGTCGTGGGGCTGTCCTGCACTGCCAGATGCTCACATTGGACCATCGGCAGCTGCTAGGGGAGCAATCAGCTAAAGCGACGAGTCGCTGCGCGAATCTATACCAAGGACATGGCAGGCGGAATTGTTTTGGCGGTCGCTTATTGTTATGTATCTCTCCCTCTTCCTTCCTATGAGGATGCGTGTGTGTTTGTGTGTGTGTATATGTGTGTAAAAGTGCAAACAAAACATGCTTCAATATAGACATTTCCAACGTTTATTTGCAACAGCTGCCTTAAATCTAGACGTAAACTCTTTAAAACGCATAGCTCGCGGCTTTTATTCATCAGCTTTTCATTTTTTAAATATGTTTTATATTTATTTTATAAAGCGAATTTCTTTTTTTTATAACATTTTTCTCTTTATGGCTTGTTGTTTGTCGCTTAACACAATTTGCAAATCTGGACTTTTTGTGCTGAACGCAATTATTCTCCATTTACAATGCACCCAATGCGAAGTGAATGCAGACGCACCGGCTGCAAAAGTCAAATGATCGGCCAGAATATACCTCCACCAAGATGAGTACCATGATATTGCCTTAAATATTAGATGATTAGTTAAGTGCTAGACTATCTACATCTAAGTCTACTAAAGCTTCAAAGCTGTCTTCTCCTGTGCATTTAACTATGGAATATGCTCATACCCTTTTAGCCAATGGTAAGAGTATAGAAACAAACAGCTTGAATGGGGCGCGCAAGCAGACAAGTAAATAAAATTCCAAATAAAGTAAAAATGTTGAAATGCCAAAGAAATGCACGGTACATGCTTTACATTTATTCATTCGCCGCCGCTGCCGCTCCTGTTGCTGTTGCTGTTGCTTTTAAGCAAGGACAAAGGCAACGAGAGCGGCAAGGAGGCGACTCCTCATGCTTGCTGCTGCTGCGTCGTGCTGGTAAGCCGAGCGTTAATAACAACGCTTATCTGTAGCATTAGCAGCGTACACAGCAATAGCAGAGGCAACAAAAAAATTTATAAAAAAAAAAATATAAAAAATAAAACAAGAAAAAAAGGATGATAATGAAAAACTGAAATAAAAGCGCAACAACAGCGCCAACAGACAAACAGCCGAATAGCCGAACAGCAAACAAAACAGAACAGAACTGAACTGAACAGTGCTGCATAGCAGAGGGAGCTGTAGGGGCTGTAGGGCCAGGGGCTGCGTGGCAGGGGGCGGCATAAGTAATTCAAGCTGCTGTTGCCGCTGACGCTGCTGGTGTGACAACTTCAACTGACAGCCGCAGCACAGAGCATAGCGCTGCGCGCCATCATCCATTATCAGCAGTTGGCCATCTTAAAGTGCTGCAAAGCAGCAAAAAACAAATAAAAAAAACACAGGAAGCGCGCGCAGGACACAAACAAAACCAAAAGCAACAACAATAATAAAAATAACAAACAAAAAAAGAGTTGAACAAAAAGTCAAAATACAAAAACGGTCGGACAGCGGGCGGTCGCACAAAAGACATAAAAAGTGAAGCAAAAATGTCGCATTGTTTTAATGCATTTGGCGCAGCGACGCTGATGCTGATGCTGATGCAGATGGTGATGGCTGATGCGTGTTGCTCTGTGGCTGATGCAGAAGCAGCGTACAAGCACGCTGCGTTTGGTAAAAGTCACGCCAAGCCACAGCAGAGAAGGCCCGCGACTGAGGCTATCTCGCATTACGTATACGCCGCGTGCTACTTGCCATTCGGATCACTGGCAGCAAAGCCTGATTACTGTGGATGTTGTTGTTGTTGTTGCTGGTGTTGTTGGTGTTGTTGTGGTTGGGTTTGCTTATGCGCCTCTTTGGTAGCGAACTGCCCCGGAGAATCCTTAACTGTGAACGTCACATAGTAGCGTTTATTGCTGTCCAACTTGTCCGCTGGCAGTGAAATTAGTTGTTTGCTCTTTCCGTGTGACAGCTCCAGAGCAACTTTGTGGCTGCACTTGCCGCTGCCGCCAAAGCCGACATCGACTCCAACGCCAACACCGACCCGCCCGCTGGAGGCGCGACCAGTGGTCAGTATTTTTGGCAGATAAAAACTGCTAACGCTGCCGGCCTTTTTGTACGGTCCAAATCCAAACTTGGGCATCGTGTGGTGATTCATCATGGGAACTGGCAGATAGCGTAAAATAGAATGAGAGAGAGAGAGAGAGAGAGATAGCGAGAGAATGAGTTATCCGAGTGAAACCTAAGATTAATGATCTGCTGCGATCGGCCTAATTAATTGAATGCCATTTTTATGAGCGCACTCGAAATGAATTTCAGCTGCCAGCATCTAGTTGACAGCCAGTTGCATTCCTGTTTGGCCACTAGAGCATGGTGGCTCGGGGGAGACATGTGTCAGGTGTCAGCGCAGTGCGAGGACACTCTGTGAAATTGCATTTAATGGAAAAAGCGTAACAAGAAAATGAAGCCAAACGCGCAGACATTTCAACTAGAATGCTGAAAGGGCAATTGCCATGAAGATGTTCCATGCATTCACTACCCTGTTGTTGTTGCATGCAGCTGCCAGCCGTCGCTCAAAGCGCATTTGGACGGATTAAGCGGGTTGTGATCCGGTATTAATGTTGTCTTGGGCGCTCTAACTGGGCGAATACACATAAAGAGCGTACACAGTATTCGGGCAGAAAAAAAATGCGTTTTTAATTTGGCATAAGCCGGACGCATCCTTTGGCCCGAGTCCCCGTCCCCGTCTACGTCCCCGTCCGTGTTCGCGCCGCATAGAAGCTATAATAAAAGTTGAAAAGCCGGAATGTGGCCAGCAAAAAGGGGCAAAGCAAAGAATATTTTTAATACGCTCGGCGCTTGGCTGCTTGGCCAAATGAATAAACTGCTCGTAATTAGGATTTATTTTAATGCTGTCGGCGCATTTGGCGCCCACGCGCGCCACTTTCATCTTTGTCTTTGAATGTTGCCCATCCGCTTGACCCACTCAGAAAGCGGCAACAAAACTGTAACAGCTCATGGCCAAGTGATTCGCCCGAGCGTCTGACCAACTGAATGGCTGACCGGCTGACCGTCTGACCATCTGGCTCTTTGTCTGCATGGCTGGTGCCATTTTTCACGCTTTTAAAGAAATGCTTAAGGGACTTAGGCATTGACTTACTGTAGGCGGCGCATGGTATGCCCGTATAGGCGTGGGCCGCATGGAGGCAACGATGTGTCTTGGTGGTGCACTGCAGCGCCTTTTCGTACGCATTGTAGTCGGGGCTTAGCCTACGCTCCGCCTGCAATTGAATGTGTCGCTTGAGCCATGTAGAAATATAAGTATAATCTGGGCTACTTACCTCCTCGTAAACCTCGTTGATGTTCTGAAAGTTGTTGGTGCCCGGCTTTTGCAGTCCCTTGAGCGTCTCGTAGAGAAACAGCTCAAAATTCTTAAACGTATATTCGCTGAAATTGTAACGCCGGAGCCTTGTGCCAGTTTCGCCGCCCAGCAGCACGCACGATTTGTGATAGTCGTCAACGGCGCGCTTTACTAGCACCGCCTCGTTCAGCTTGTTTGAGCGTATTTGTAGCGACTTGAGCTCCAGCAGATGCTGGAAGATCTTGCGCTCCATGTAGTATCTGCAAAGAGCATAAGAGCATGCAAATATGGATAGGGCGTCATGGCAACCAGCGCCAGAAAAGCGCAGCATTGTCCTCATTCCTCCCCATTTCTGGCATCTCATCATCATCAGAAGCTTTGCCAGCTAGCGCATAAAATAAATGTTTGCAAATGTACGTAAATTGTCATTTTGATATTTTGCGAGGCAAACAAAGGCCGCGCCTGCTGTGCCGTCTGCCTGTGCCTGACATAGCTCGAGGCCCAAAAGGAGCCCAACGCGGCGCCCGAACCCCTAGCAGGAAACACAATGCGCACAATACGCGAACGCAATAAAAGGCATCATGTTATTAAAATTTCAAAAATACTAAAGTGCGTTCGCGCAAAACAAAAATTGTATTAATAATTGAGAGAGCACATAAAGCGGAGCATGTCGAAATTAAAGCCACCAGAGGCCCTGGCATAACAAGCAATCGACAAATTTCACCAAAAACCTAAAAATTGTTCAAATAATGAAGTAGTTAGGCGGTGGCCCGGCTGCTTAGCCAGGCAGCCGCCTGGCTGAGCTTAAAGATCTCACTGGCTCCGGCTGCACACTTGAAACTTTGCAAATCAACCGCCGGCTCTGAGACTTTTGACAGCGCCCCGGGCAATGTATTTTCCCAAAAACTGAGCAAATTTGTCGAGTGCACTCAGCACAGCGCAGCGCTGAGCGGCGTTCCAAACTTGTTTATGCATTGAGTCGAACGGGCTGGGTTGGGGTGGTACTGCGACTGCGGGTGGGAAAGTGTCGCGAATTGGCTGGCAATTTATACAGTTGCCGCTTGACACTGTTCGCCACTTGGGTGCACTGCGAAATTATGCGAAACAATTTCGACTTTGAAACAAATACGGTGCGCAAAACCTCGAACCAACCAACGATTGGACAACTAACAGAGCTGGCAGCAGGTAAAAGTGCTGCTTCTTCTGCCTTCGTCTGCGCTTCAACCTAAAAGTGGTCATTGGCTAGCAAAAACTGCGTGGCAAATTGCCCCTTAAACTGGCCTGAAAAGCCGCACCGGGCGACGATGTTGATGAAATCTCAGGCTGCTAAGCTGCCAGCGGGATTTTGCGCCACAGCCAACAGATCCGGCAAACCACAGCTCCTTGGCCATTGCTCTTGCATCCATTTGGCTGCTCCGGCCATTCTCGCCCCGTCATCTCCATCTTCAGCTCTGTCTCCGAGTGGAGCTTCAATGCTGCTTGTTTGCCGCAGCGCTTTTCAATTTTACGCCTCGCTTTGGCTTCGTTCAGCTGTGCCTTAATTCTTTGCTCGACTTTCCTTTGCAAAACTATTTGTGCCTCGCACTTTTTTGCCTTGCCCAACGATTGCCTTTTTTTTTAATATTTTTTTTTTCGCAAGTGCAAATAGTTTTTCCACCAGTGTCCTTGGCACATTTTTTGTATTTTTATTTATTTTTCTTCTTTTTTTTGCCGCTGGTTTCAGTGTTGCCGCCGCTGTTGCTACTGCTGCTGCTGATTTCCGTTTCCGTTTTACGTTCGCTTAGCAGAACTTTCATTGCATTTTCTTGTGCGCGTTGATTTCGTGTGCTACATTTTTCAGTGACCGACTCACTGTCACGCCCACTACCTCCATGACACCCAGCCGCCGTGCAACCCTGCAAGCCCTACCATCCCTGCCACCCCAACGCCGGCGGCATCCTGTTTGTGACACAAATTTGACAAGCAAAAAGTGCGCTCAGCACCAAAGTGGATGGAGTGGAACACGGCCCAAGGGGGCGTGGCACGAGCGTGCGGCATGTGGCGCAGGCGGCTGTTGACAGCGGCAGTGACAACGAAATGCAAAGAAATTAAGTGCGTCACGAGCTGAACTAGCAACAACAACAACAACAACAACAACAACAGCAACAACAAAAAGAAATCTGTGCCCACCGGCAATTTAAATGCAAAAAAAAAAAAACAAATAAAACAAAAGCAAACCGAAGTGCACAGCATTTAAGAAGACTTCACTTTCCAATTGCGTGTGGACACTTGGGCAGCCTTTTGTACAATGTATTTGCGCCCTTTTGCCAAAAACGAAAGACTGTGAAAATCCATGCAGACCATGCCTAAACAAGGAAGTTCCTCAACCAGCGAAACGGAGCTCGACAAAAGCTCTTCATCTGTGGATTTGGTTTTTGAAAAAGGGAAAAACGGAAAACTTTCTCGCCTCATTTTTCATCGAAGCCTAAGTTGTTTTTGGCAGGAGCTCAAAAGTTTGAAGAGCGCTGCTTTGAAAGCTCTGCATCTGCAAAGAGGATCTCCCCTGGGAGAGGTGGTAGAAATGGAAGCTTTTCATTCCAGAGGCGAAATTGAAACGCTTTGCTTGCAGTGGTAATTTAATTCCAGGTAAAATGCTTGTACTTCCAAGTTTTTACTTGCATCTAACCTGAAGAGTTATAATATACCATCTGTTACAGTGTTTTAAATAAACAAATTTGATCAAAAGCTAGCACATTAGTAAGTGAAAGGAAAAATAAATAAAATAGGATAATTGAGCCTTGCTGAGGTCGGCTGAGCCTTGGCAAAACGAAATCCAAATATTTAACAATGTCAATTACGTGAGCGCACATTATAAATCCCAAATCTCACCTGTGCTGTTGGGACACGCACACAGGCAGAGCACACACAGAGATACACACGCACTGCTGGCAAGTTATTTGTTTAATTTATGCGCCAGATAAAATTTTAATCTCTTCGGAGCCAAAGCGAAAAACAAAATAAAGGTGGCTACGTACCAAAAAAAAAAAGTTTGCAAAATAAAATAAAATATAAAACAACAACCAACATGCGACTGATATAAATAAAATTCTCTATTTACACACTTTTCATGGTGTTTAGCATCGCTGGCAGCACAGCTGTCCGCCAGTCCAGAGCCAACCTGTACCTAGCCCAGATTATTCTACCGGGTGCTTTAGATTTACTTCTTTTTTTTGTTTTTTTTTTTTTTTTTTTTTGCCAACCAGCACAACTGACTGCCGCCGCCCCCTTGTGGATTTTGTTGGATTTTTATGTATTTTACAAGAATTAATTGACTCACACTGCCGACTTGTTAAAAATTTTGTTATTCGTGGTGAGTAAGACGCTTGTTTAACTTGGCGAACATTGCGTATAAGCCGCATACTATTTGCATTGGTCTCCCGTTCGCTCATCTGATATTCATACTCGGCGGAAAAAGTTGCTTTCAGTTTGGCTTATGCAAACCGAACGAGCGGGCCGCGTAAATATTTTCATTAGTCAAGTGGAAAATATTATGTATTTATGAAATGCGTTTTCTTACCCACTTGTGCCGAATGCTTGCAAATTTATTCATAGGCATCGGGGGCAGATTACGGAAATTAATAAAATTGTGATTACTCAAATTTAATTAAGTTTTTGCCAAGTCTATGCTTATGCCCTTTGCAAATCCCAAAAATACAATTACAATTGACTTTTGCTGCTCTTGAATCCGCCGTGGCTCAAAACAATTTAATTGCCTAAATGAAAGTCAACAGCAGATAAATACAATAGTACACAGCCCACACGTTTCCAGCTTTAAAACTAATTTGATGTAGTCAAGTAAGCATCGACATTTTAATCCTTTCGTCGCCAGGATATCCGCTACAAGGTCTCTAACAGCCGTTGAACTAATGCTGCGTTTTGCATGTTTGCGCCTTAAAAATTCGCCGCTAATCTGCGTTAATTCCACTTACAATTAGCATTAGCGCCTTGTAAATGAAGACGCCGACTTTGCCACCGACTGCAAGCTGCGTCCCATTTTAATGTTTTGAACCAGTTTTTGTATAAACAAAGCTCTCACCGCAGGTGGGCGTTGGCCGTTGGCTCAGAGGTGAGCGGGTCGTGGGCGTTGCCACTTAATTAAAATGCGCAACTCTTTGCCGGAAATGAGCATTTCAACTAATGACAAGAGCCTGGGGCCTCCGAGATTTCCAGCCGTTCGTATAAATTAAAATAAATTAGCTATAAGAAACAAGTGCGGCGCCGTAATGTACAAACTAATTTAATACTCTGCAAACTCACGTATATGGAATATAACATAGCCATGTCGTTATCGTAACAGTTCAACGAGAAAAGGCCGAAAGTTTAATTTGAATTTTGATTTATATCTAAACACATGTAAAATAGTTACAGTCGGAAACTTTGCTTCCAGTGCAATAACAATAACTGGAGCAGCAGAATTATTATAAATACAATTTACATTAGCTTTAAGTTTGTGAGATACACAAATTTAGCTTGCGGGCTAAAAGTGGATTAAGCGAATCTTTTCCTACATATTTCACTGACGTTTATTTCATATATAATTCCAACATGTGTAGCCCTTGCCAAGCCTATCGCAGCGGAGTTTACATCCAATCAATATACTCTCTTTCTCTTTGCGCATAGAGTATAGAGCGAGGAATCAACTTTCTCTTTGGGACTTTAAAGGGTCTTAGTTATTTAAAGTTAACAAAAAGTTACTTTTAATTAAATAAATAACATGTTTACATACTACAAAGTTTAGCTTGGAGCGGGCCTCATATTCTAGCACCCCTTGAAAAAATGCCCAAAAAGGCACAAAACCAAAAAAATATGCTGCACTTTTTTGGCAAAAGCCACAAATTTTGCCCGATTCTTTTTTTAAATATTCCGAATTAAGATCCGCAAGCTGAAACCCGAAACGTCATCAACCAAATGTTTGACCTCATCTTTGACAAGGTAGGAATATATTTTCCGAAAGTTGTGAAACATCTCTCATCATCTTTAAAAATAATATTAAGGTCGATTTGTTGATAAGTAAAAAAGTTTCATAGACAAGTTTTTCTCAATCAAGTTGTTGGTTGTAAGCATGGGCTTGTAATGGGACTACAAGGAATTCTCGTACTATAAAAGTCCTTATTTAAACATTTAATTAAATAATTAAATTTATTTATAATGTTGATCAGGATGCTAAAATATCTCGTCTGAATATATCATTGATATATATCAATTTAGAATCTATTATGTAACTAATCAATTTTCAATAGTGAAAACGAAAATCGGCTCAATCATAAATAAGTTACTATGAATTAATTATTGTCAGTCTTTAAGAGTAAAATGCCCTAGATTAGTCAGTACTCCGTACATATGTATGCAGCATGATAATGAGCAGCACTTGTTAAAATTACGTTTTAATCTATTGTGGGCACGCGGTCATCGTTAATGCCCAAGTACATGGAGGATGGACATTAATGCCGCGTTTATTGCCTTTAACCGCATTATGATAACTTTAAAGCGCGCATTTTTATGGCAACCGGAAGCTGGGCAATTTATTTGTTGGCCTGGACAACAATGGCGCCGCCTCTCTGACCACGTTAAAAAATGAGAAATGTTCCCAAGGCTACTAAGTGCCCAACTAAATTAACTTTAAGGCGGCCCGGCTGACACTGGGACAGAGACTGAGACTCTGGCGCCCGCCCCTTTGATTACATTAAATGGACGGCGGCTGCGGCCGCTCACAGACGCGTGCGTGATATAATGCGAACCCACGAGCCTCAATGCTCGACAGTTGGACGTTCAAGTTGATTAAAATCAAGCATCAAGTAAATAAATCTACCGCCGAAAAGGCATCCAGGCGGTCCAGGCTGCCGCCACATCAACTGCGTGGTGATTAATTTAAATGAATGAATCTTGGCCACTGGCCATTAAAATTGTGACGAATCAGTTACCCGAAATCTGGTCTGTGGACTCACCTGCGAATATTCCGCTGGATGGAGCGTGTCACGGCGCCCATGTCACAGGCGCCCTTGTCTCCCGGCTTTCGATTCTCCAGGCGACTGCTACAGGAGCGTCCGTCCAGGGTCGCATAGATGGGTCGGCGCGGCATGGCCGTATGGGCTGTGCGCGGTGTAGGTATTTTGGTGCGCTCCGCACGTGGACTGGGCTCGAAGCCGGAGTCCTGATCTTTGCTGGTGGTGGCCAAGGCGACATTGCTCTCTCGCGACTCCTGTGCGCTCTTCCAATTGCTGCGCGTCTTGGCACCGCTGCGCACGCGCTTTTTCAGGCGACGCTTGCGCCCGTTGGCCAGCCCATCATAGACACCAGCAGCTGCAGTGGCGTCGCTGGTGGCGCCTTGCTCGCCGCCAACACCATGGCGAGCTCCACTGCTCAGAAAGCGGCGAAGGGCACTGTCGTGCTCCGGATCAATGTCGTCTGCATCGTCATCGTCTGCGGCATCATCAAATTCTTCGTATTCGTCAGGCTTGTCCAGCTCGGATGCACTGGGCAGCTTGGAGCTGGCGGTGCCATCGTGCACCACTTGAAAGACTTGATTGCTGCCACTGTACTTAACATCGTGTGGACGCGGCGAATCCTCCAAATCGGCAATGGAGTCGTCGCTCTTAAGCACTTGGAAGCTCGATTTACGTTCGGGTTCATCGGAGACTGGCACAACAGCAGCCGCAGGCTCATCATCAGCCGAGTCGGAGGGCAGCAGTGTAAAGGAGCGTCTTGACTCCTGTTCCCGTTGTGGTGGCTGTTCCTCGTGCTGTTCCTGCTTCTGTTGCTGCTGCTGCTGCTGCACCTGTTGCTGTTGTTGTTGCTGTTGGGACTGCGGCTTTTGCTGTGGATTATAGGGCTCAGCTTGGGGTTTGGGGGGAGTTGACGGAGGCAACGCCTTTGTCTCACATTCAGGCTCTATCGCTATATGCTCCAATTTTTTGCCAGCCTCTGCTGCGGTTGCTAAGGGTTGCGGCTGTGGCAGCGCCTCTAACTTTGGTTGCTCGGCTGTCGGTGGCTTCGCAACTGGCGCGTCAGCAGATGGATGCGGTAAGGACGTGCTGGCAGTGGGTGGTTCGGCAGGCGCTACGGGATCTCCACTATGATTATTCTTAACCCCATTCAATGGCAGCATTTGCTGTACAGCTTCCGATGTATTCTCGACAGATGCTTCTTCAGTAGAACTCTTTGACTCGCTGCTCAATGCCGTGGCAGCTATTGTGATCATATGTTCGACCTCAGTGGTGACCAATTTGGTGTCCTCCTCGCTTAGCTCGTGCTTTGCAGCTCTCTCGGCCTCTGCAGGCGTAGTCGCAGTTACAGTCGCCGTTTCGCCTCCTGGTACCACATCGAAGGACTTTGAGGATTGCAACTCTGCATCATGATGCACATCCACTTGGGTAACCACCGACTTGGCTGATTCCTGCTCCTCATCCGTTAGCTCCAAGCCATGGCCTTCTGTCACCTCCAAGTTGTCCGGCTCCACAGCCGCTACCTTGTCGCCTTTGGCACTCTGCGGCGGCGATTTGATAAAGGTGCCCTCCTTGGTAGCCGTTGGCGTGGCCGGCTGTGTCTGATCCTTGCCTGCAGCTTGAGGTGGCTGTGGACTGTCGGGTTTATCCTGCAATGGGGACACTTTGTGCTCGCCCTTTTTCGGCGTACTGTTTCCCTGCTCGCTGCCATCCTCCTCGCTGCCAGGCAGCTCCTTGCGCCTGTGCGAGGGTGTAGAGCGCTTGCGCGGCACGACACGCTGTTTCTGGCGCTTGTGATAGCAGCAATTCTCGCAGGAGTCCTCATCATCCTCGTCGTTCTCGCCATCACTGGTGCTGGCATAGCGCTCCCTGGACTGATAGCGCCGACTGATTTCAATGTTGCTCTTGGAGCGGCAAATGTCGCTACACTTCTTATGTTGGCCCTCGCCGCAGCTGTTGGTGCGCCGGCGTAGCTGGCGGCGCTTATGCCCTTGGCATGTATGCACCAGACGCTGCTCCTTTCGATATGACTGCTCCGTGCAGCTGCACTCATCTTTCTCCTGCTCCTCCCCAGCACCAACAGCAAGGCCACCATCAGAATCGCTGCGCCTGAGATACACTACGTATTTCTTGGAGCTACGTAGATCGTGCAACTCCTCTTTTTCCATATACTTCAGAGGTCGCACCAGATCCGCTGCGTTACTCTCGTGAAAGGGATTGCCGCGACGAGCAGCCAGCCGAAGCTTGTTGGATGGCTGCCCACCTTGCGACTGCAGGAACTTGGCCGTGGAGCGATGACCACGCTGCAGTGCACAGTCCAGCGGGGTCAGCACAAGGCCCCGGGAATTGCGATAGAGCGCATTAACATCGCCCCCATGGTCCAGCAACAGCTTGCACATGTCCGTATAGTCGTTTGCAGCTGCAATGTGCAGCAGGCTGCGCCCGTCGTTGCTGGTGGTGTTCACCTGCTTGGGTCGTTGGGACAGGAGCCATTCGAGTAGCTCACGTCGGCCGGAGGCGGCCGCCTCGTGCATTGGCAGATCACCTTTGGCATTGCGCAGCCAGAGATTAGCGCCGCGCTCCTTCAGCAGCTTCAACGTTTCGAACTGGCCCTTGGAGCAGCCGCAGTGTGCGGGCGTGCGACCCTTGCGGTCCTGCCGATTGGGATCTGCTTCCAAGTCGAGCAGACGTGCCGTGGCATCCGCATGGCCAAGCGTCACGGCGTAATGCAACGCCGTGCAGCCGTTGGTGTCTATGAGATCTGTGGGCGCGCCACACAGGCTTATCAGCGTGTCGATGCACTCGGTGTGGCCACGCGAGCCAGCGCAGTGGAGCGCGGTGAGACCATCCCTGCAAGGAAAGCAAAGAATGTTACAATGTCCCAACAGAAGATCAAAGCAAATGGTGGCTCAACCCACTTATCGGCACTCTCTACACGTGCGCCCGCCTTCACCAGGGCTATAACCGCTTTGGCCGAGCCCGCCGAGGCGGCCCATAGCAACGGCTGCCGTCCATCCTTGTCCTGAACATCGACGCTGCTCTGCGGATGGGCCAGCAGTATGCCAAGAATCTCAAGGGCCAACTTGCTCGAATTGGACTTCAGCTTGTTGTCGTAACTGGCGCCGCACATTTGTGCCGCATAGTGCAGGGGCGTGCCGCCGTTAACATCGGGCTGGGCCACACTTGCACCGGCTGCCAGAACTGCCCGCAATGCCTCAATTTCGCCACATACTGCAAAAGCAAAGTCAGTTTGTTATTCAATGTGCTGAAGGCAAATATAGTACATAATTGCGGTGGGTGGGTGGTTGGGGAGTGGGTAGTGTATGCTTACCCGTGGCCCAGTGCACCACCGAGTGGCCTTCATTGTCCACCGCGTTCACATCGGCTTTGTTCGCTAGCAGCAAATTGACCATCGCCAAATTGCCCTGAATAACAGCCAAGTGAAGCGGCGTGAAGCCATCCTCATCGGCAGACTCCAGCAGCTCTGGAGCTGCAATCGCAATGCTTGCGGCCGCCACGAGGTCGCGCGTCTGCTCCAAATCCTGCGCGGCACAATAATGCAGCGCGTTGCGGTTGCTACGGTCACGCTGCCGTAGCAGTTGGGGCTGCAAGAAAAGAATTTGAGTTATTCACTTGTGCCAGCTTGTGTTTTGAATACATTATTTATTCATTCATTCAAACATGCAGCTTTTTGTAGCTACCTTCAAAAAGGCAAACTCTTTAAAATAAATTAAAGCTTATCAATTCAGTTGCGCGCGAGAATCGCAATACAGCCGCCAGCTACAGCTGCAGAAGCCGTTGCAGCTGCAGCCGGGAAGCGATTAATAAACTAATTAAAATGTCATTTGCATTCTGCAAAAATATTTGCCACAGGCAGAGTATCTCACGGCGCATACTGCGGAATAATAAATTGTGCAATTATGAATAGCATCACGCTTATTGGCAGCTCAGGCGTCAAACGAGCGCAAACTATAATTGCAGTCAAATGTTTTACTCGCTTTTCCCCCAATTATTATTATTTTTTATTTGTTTTCTTTTTTTGTTTGTTTGCTGTAATTTATTTATGTTAATATTTATTCAAATATGCGATCGTCCCTTGTTATTATGGGCCGCATGTAATTCAATATTTTATTTTACACCAAATTGTCGAGCTGCTGCGCTCGACTTTAAAATTGATAATTAAACATATTTTCGCGTTAATCACGTGCAAATTGTGCGCGACTATCAATAATTAAAAATTACTTTTCATCTGCGGCCCGCTTGCGGCCGTCGCTTGTTAGTAACTAAAGCAACAATGGCCACAACCAACGGCAACAAAAATAAACAAACAAATACAGGTTTCGCAGTTGGCAGTTGGCGTCCCTTTGAAAGTGCAAGTGGCCACTACGGTTGCGCCTGGCAACGTGGTGAGTTGCACCTGCCACCTCACGCCTCACACCTGCCGCCTGACACCTGCTGCCTACATGCACGAGGTGTATTTCGACGATCCCCGAGTGCCACCAAGTGCAATTACCAAATTCACATTGGCCATTTTGGCGCGCAGCACGATATCGAACTCCAATGGGCTGGAGAACATTTTAACGAGTACTTTCAAGCGGCGCGTCGCCTGTTCCGCGTGTCAAAACATGTCAAGTGCACAAAAAATACTGTCGCCGCCGTCGAGCACTATGCGAAAACTTTACTCGCCGCCGTCGCAATGCGAACAACTTCAGCAGCAGCAGCACGCAAGCCGAAAAATGCTCAAGTGAAAAAAGGCTAAATCATCGGCTTAGCGCCAATTTACACGACAACGGAGAGACTAGTGGGCCAAGCTATAGAGTCAAACTTAATAGTCCTTTTAACACTCTAAACGTAAACAAGAAGCAAATAAACTTATAAGTATCTAAAATTGATCGTCATCCTTCTAAAGTAATCCTATAAATAAATTTGATATATAGAAAATGTTTTATAATATACAAAATTCTTGTCCATTCCTCACAGCTAAATCGTTGCAAGATTAATAAGATTAGATATTAATAATAAATTATTTAAAATACGAAAAATCTGTTCCAGGTGCATAATAATTCGGTAAAAATTCATATTTGCAGAACATGAGGGAATATTTAACGGATTTTTACCAGCATAAAATTAAGTCAAATTTAATACTGCGAATGCTACAATACAAGATCACAATTCTGCAAGTCTAGTTGTGCGTATATTGACTTAGATTTTAAGAAATAGGCTCAAACTCAAAAAGTCATCAAGGAAAATTGTTTAAAAAAAATATGATAATATATACAATATGATAAATTAGTTCGACTAACACGCATACTTTTAGTGATCTATTTAGTATAAGCTAAATTTTAAGCAAAGAGCAAAAAGATGTCAAATGTGGGTTAAATTTATTATTCTGGTAATAACATAGTCATTTTTTTTCAAACATTACTAAAAGAATTATTAAAATATATATGTATATTTTGCTGCAAATTTGTGTTTATAATGCTTGTAATAGAGTATATCAAATGTTCGCTATGCTGCTCAAACTTATTTTTTTTAAGCAATTCGTTGCGCTTATTTCTCCATTGTCAAAAAGTTTCGGCTTGCGTTTATCTTGGCAGTCAGGCAGAATGATTGAATGTGTCGCTTTTCTAACCAACGTTCAATTTTTGCAAATACATTTTAAGCACGCCCCTCTCTATTTTTATCAGGCGCAAACCCATCGCGTGTTTGTTAGCGGAACAAGAGACCTTTGGAGGGAGGCGAGTGGCACTGAAATGTGCACCAGGTTTTTGGGCAGAAAATGCCAAAGTCGTTGTAGTTCAATTTATAGCGCATTTAACTGAGTCAACAAATAGTTCGATAGCAGCCGAAAAACAAAGATAAGAACCTGGGTCAAAAGAAAAGCAAAACAAGCTCAACGAAAGTAAAGACATTAGGAATTTGCGTGCTTCCAATGGCGGACAAGGACATAATATTAGGAGTCAGAAGTCATGTTGAAGCTATGAATTTAATATTATGCGAATATAGGTTTTAGATAAACGATAAAATTGATTTTAGCGTGAGATTCTGTGTCAGATAGAAAGGTTTTATAAGGAACGGATATCTTTTAGATATTTGTTATATATTAAGTTTAATCGAAGTCAAATACGAAGACAAGTGTCCTTTGAATGTACTATTATAAATTTGCCTTAAATTTTTCCTATTTTATTTTAAATGCAGCGTTAAGCGAACTGATTAGTTACGATTTATATAAATGAGTGAGACTAAGCTCTTCGTCCTTTCAATGTATTTTATTTATCATATGGTCTATGAGATCACAATATTGATTTAAATCTCAACGCTTTTTTTTGACTCCGAAAAAATGCTAAACACCTCATCACAGTTTAGGTTAACAATCTTTGCTGCGGTTTTTTTTTTTTGGTATTTGCTTTTTTGTTAATATTTTTGTTGATTGAATCAAAATTGTTTTGATGGTTTTGTTGCGTTTCTTTTGTTTAGACTCATTTTGAGCTGTTTTTTTTTTTTTTTTTTTTGTTGGGAAAAAGAATGAAAAGTGGAAATTTACATTGCGATTGGCACAAAAAGTATTTAGAGTGAGTTTTATTTGCCGCTACTTCCGTTATCTTGGTGTCCCTTTTACTGTGTGTCTTGGCCATATCCGGGCTCTTTCACTGTTTCTTATAGCGAACCTCCGCTGCCATCCGGATTATGAATAATTCAAATAAACTGAAATGATACCTAAAAACTTTGACAGCGAGCTCGCTCGCAGTTGGTACAAAAGAGGAACCTAGGGTCACAGTTGAATCGGGCGGGGGAGGGAGGTGTGGCTTAACGCAGCATCAAATAAAGTTCTCGTGTTTGTTACTGCCACTGCTGTTGTTGTTGTTGCTGTTGTTGTTGTGATTGTTGCTGCTGCTGCCTTTGTTATTATTACGATGATGGCTGGTGTGATTGTTGCCGCTGCCATCGCCTCATACCCGCCACAGCTGCTGCTGCTGCTGCTGCTGCTGCTGCTGTTGGTGTCATGCAAATTTGCATTTAACTTTCTACGTTTGCCCAACACAAAATGAAATGCGATAATCAAATACGTCCAACAACAATGCGATCCAATGGCAGCAGCAGCAGCAACAGCAGCTGGTGCCTCCCGCCCCCAATTTTCCCCACTGTTGTTGTTTGGCTGAGCCAAGTTAAGATAAAACTTCGGCATTGGCTTCTGACCATTCATAAGCGGGCCTGGTCAGCCCACTGGCCCTGTTGCCTTGTTGCTGTTTATGCCATTTTAATAGTTTTGAAAAACAAATAAAACACGCCCTAGCCACACAACAACAGCACCCACTGAAGCAACAATAATATAACTTGTAAGTTCGGCGAACTGCGCTAAACTTTCCTTAAGCTATTTAACGTTATTCTGATCGGCCCAGAGTGAAGTATAAATAATTGAACCAATTCTGGGAGAATATCGATATGTGGAAAATCGTGAGTAAATTCAGTTTGTAACCCACCTCAAATTTAATTATCTTGGACTTTTCTGGAACTTATCCCTAATTGCATGCGGAGTAAACTTGTTAGCTTTAAATATATTTGTTGCGTCTGAGTTAACACTGGAATGTGTCCTGTCAGTCAACTCGGCAGGGTATCGCAGCTCACCTGATTAGCTGAGAGTTCGCTAAGAGGAGCAATAAAAAACCGGAGCACAATTTATGACCCACAGCTGTAACAAATATAGAATTGGGTGATGACAGCCATAAAATGTCACATATTTTGTTGCTCTTCATATCAGACGCTTAGCCTAGAAGCTGAGTCCAAGATTCAGAATGAAAGATAGGACGGATTTTGAGCGTTTCGTGCCAACTAAACTTAAAACTTGCTATGTTGCATTTAATTTTGGGGCTGTGGAATTTGCATAACTCTAGCGTTGGCACTTCCGTGGCAACTTCTCGTAGGTTAGGGGACTGCATCAAAGCTTGGCAACTCTTATTATTCATATATCGTAATCCATTAGCATAACAATGGAATGTAGTTGTCCAGAAGGAGTAACAAAAGTGCCACAGACGGCCTAGGCCTTAGAATTTATATTTGGATATGACGCATACGACATGGTGTACCCATACATTTTATTGTTTACACGCAGGAAGTGCGTACACACACATACAGACATACACACATATAAATAAAGCATAAATAATAATAAAAGAAGAGACAGCAGCCACAGCAAAGAAGACAAAAACAACAAAAAGTGAGACGAGGGGCAAACAGTGATATGATAATGCATAAAAAATAAAATACATGCATGGGCTGAATACCACGAAAGGGCACAAATGACATGCGGGCGCCTGCCTAGGCGGTGTCATGAGGCTGTATCCAAGGGAATACGAACCGAGAATTCGACTTAACGCTTCGTTGGGCATCACATCCGCCATAATTATGTGTGACGCAACAGCAGAATGGCGCATTAAAAGGCCAGGACAGGGTCAGTCTCACTAACGTTGTCGGCCAGTTCAGTTCGCTTGAGCACAACTCAGGAAGACCACATCGTATTTTCCTGTAGGAAATGGGAAAGCAAACCAAAACAAATTCCAGCCACAGGCAGAGACACAGACACAGACATGCCGGAAGTACTTTGCAAGCGCCTTAAGGTCGCCATTTGGCCCGTGTGTCCTGCTTAAGATGTCAAGTGACCGCAGCGGGGTCCACTCAATTCCAAATTTATGCGCACAATGCGTAATTCATATGTTAATCGCATTCAGGCAGCCCAAGCCATCCAACTTGCTAACAATTCAGACTGCCAGCTACCTTTTGGGCTGGGTTTTAATTAATGCAAGCGACAAAATGCGCAGGTAGCTCCAACTGAAACTAAGTACACAAACACAGACACACGCACAAAGACACACATACATACACATGGCATGGTATTTAATATTGCTGTTTTGATGCGAAAGCAACGCTGAAGGCATGCAGGAGAAGTCTCGTCTTAAGCAGCCAGACTCTTGCCAACAAAAGCAACAACAATAATTTACATGTTTAGCAGACAATGCCAATGGGAGGAGGAGCTGTGTTGTGAGTAGACAGCTCTTTAAATGTTGTTGTAGCACCTTTTATACTTCTAATTAGTACCACGCTGGTAGCTGCAACAACAATGGGTTGCATGCATTGCAGTTAACATTGCTTGAATAGCCGCCTTTGTTGTGGCTCTGTCTGAGTCTTAGTGCTAGACTTTGCTCCCCCATCAGCCTCACACACACACTCACACCATCCTGAGTCTCCTCTGTATCCCATCTCTAGAGCAGCCAGCAGGAAGCTATTCGCTGTGCCGCATTCTTAAGTAGTTTTGGCAATTATTTACAGCTACTTTGCGCGCAGCAGCTCCGACCCCTAGACTTAAGGTTTGCCGCACGGATTATTATTATTATGCGGCGCTGTGTGCCGCGTTCAGTGTAGTTCAACTTTTGCATGGTTTTTATGCCATGCAACGGATTAACCACAACGGCAAACTTTTATTTTGATCTACAAACTTTTCTCGGCCGTCGCCCGGTTCGTTCGTTCAATCTCAGGTGGTAAACTGTTTGCTAAATATGAACAGCAAATTTGTGTTGCCTT